CGTCCACGAAGTAGTTCAGAATCCAGTGTCGCAGAGCCACAAACGACCTCACATGAACAATCATACCGATCTCATCACGACGTCCAATTGCCCAGCGTAATCGAGCCACCAGCATCTGTAGCAAACTCTCTGGCTCGAGGAAGGCACGGAATGTCAGAAAGAAATCAGATATCAGTTCATAATCCAGGAAGCTCGGCGAGGTGATCTCGGCGACCAAGCGAGCTGGCGTGGCTGCTGAGACGACGCCGGACGACGATGTATATCGGACAATTGATACATCATCGCAGGCTGGCTTAAATGTCAAATCGTCGAACATGGCAGGTTCAATTACAAGGTGGGAAGTAACAAAGGTTAGTCGTAAAGGCGTACCGTTTGCCTTCGCGGTGGTGATGGTGGGGGTCCGAGGTTGTGTGTGTCGTGAGAGTCGAGATCGGGGCACCTTAAGCGTGCTGGGTCGCCTCGAACCTAGCCTAGGCAAAGATGTGTTCAGATCCTTTTGGGAGTGATCGATGAGAGATCCCCTCATGGTGTGATACTCCTCGCTGGGAGAATACGATGAGCGTCCCAAGTGTGGTGTCCCGGTGGACGTGAAGTGGGGGACTCCCAAGCGCCATGACGGTATACTAATATCTAACAAAACATCGGCATCTGCGTCCTCAGTAGTCTTTGGTCGATGATCCGGGCCAGGTTTCGATATTACGATCTTGAGAGCACCTGCCTCAGCATGGGCAGCATTAGTGTCCTGAATCGTGCTGTCAGACATCGCTCGACGATGTCTTGTCGGAGGCGCCCAGGCATGGTTGTCGGCAGGTCCTCGTTTGCCTTCCAGTCGGGGCGATGGTCTGGGTATGGGGGTCCATTGCCCCTGAGATAACCCCCCATCATCAAATTCAGGAGTCGGTTGACCTAGATAATCTAAGCCAGAGGTACCTGGTGGTGTCGCTGGGAAAATGAAATCTGGCTGCGGAAATCGTTGATGCACTGGGCGTACAGAAGGCCTGGGATGTGTTAGTTACATAAAAAAAAAGAAGAAGAAAAAAAGAAAAACAGGAAAGAGGCAGATCAACATTAGTCGTCTTGGGCTGGAGGTGCCGAGTTTAGAGGCATGCGAGGGGGCGGTTGAGACATAGCGATCCAGCCGCATGCCATTTATCCAGCTCCTTAGAATAGACTGGGATCTCCAAGACAAAATCGCAAACATACCTTAGATAGATCCTGCCATTATTCCCCACGTTGGCGACTGTGAACTGACGGCCCTCCCGACCAGCAGAACTTCCGTCTGGCGCAATCTCCCACTTCTCGCCATCTTTTTCTTTTTTGCCGCTCTTGCCCAACTTTTCTCCGTAAGATGCTCGCTCGGTGGCAGGTACAATGGGTCTTCCTGGGCTGGTGTTCGTTCTAGGGGGTTTAGGTGTAGGTTTGCCGGCGTATGTGTCGCTCCCCGTCGCAAACGCAGATCTTGGTGATATCCTCTTCGTTCTGACCTCCCGTGTCGATTTCGATCTCTTGGGAGAAGCCACATTCTTTCGCTGGCTGGGCCGAGGCCGGGGCCTCAGAGCCGTCTCGGGCTGCAGGATGGGGGTGGACTGGTCAATGGCCTCCATGACAACCTCGCTTGGCGTCGTCCACTGGCGCGCTTCTCGTCACGGTCAGGTCTGGCGACAGCATCGGATCAGTATTTGAGCATAAGACAGTGGATCATGTGCCGCTCGAAAGTAGAGTCAAAACAAGGCGATGCACCGTGCGCAGGCTGAGAGAGACGAGTGACGTCTTTCCCCAAGTGGCTGGAGGTCCTTTGGGTCGCAAAGGGGGGAGGGAGTCCGTCTGAGGGGAGATTAGATAGCGAGACGTACATACACACACCTACGAGCCCCTTCTTTGCGAAGCCATACTCGGGCACAGTAGTGGTGACAGTGGCATCTATGGTGACCAAGATCCTCCACAAAGGAGGCGTGCTAGGAGAGGGAGGCAATTGGCGAAATGCACAGGAGCGGAAATCAACAATCAAGGTATGGTGGTCAGGGTGGGCAAGGTACTTAGCCTCATGCTGACCAGGCGCGCAGGGAAGGATGGCAAATGGGTAGACGGCTGGCTGCGCAAGCGCGAGGCGCCGGACTTGGACTCAACCCAGCAAACACGCCCGGCCACCGCAGAGCTCTGTCAGTCTAGTCCGTCCGGAGAAAACGCACGAAGCTGGATATTGCAAGTATTGGCAGTGCGTGGCCCACAATTTACAAATGATTATGGACGGACAGGGGATGGACAGTGTGAGACGCACCGTCAATCACCACCACTGGGCTAAGAGACGGGGGAGAGATGAATTTGCTCCTGGGGTTTCCCATGTGGACCTTGGCCGGGCCCCTTCCGAGCCCTGGTAGCTTGTCATTTGGTACAGGCTGGAAGACTAGGATAGTAGCCATAGCATGAACATGGGCCGACAACAACGACGCCTACGACTCCTGCATTATGCGATGACATGGAACGACAGCGGGAGCAAGCACGGGATACGCAGCGTCCAGTTATGCCAGTGGGTGCACCATTGGCTGGTGCAGAAGCAAATACCGAATATCGAGAGCGCCTGCCAATGGTAGCGGTGGGAAGGCGCGCGGCCCCACTAAACTGAATGCACAGGTCAGCCTGGGAGCCATGACACAAGGCAAAAGTTGGCCGACAACAGCAACGGCAGCCGACCTCCTACTATCTTGTCTACAACCTCTGGGCCAGCCCCGTCCGTCCGCGAGCATCTACCCAGGCAGATAGGACGCATGCGCATCTCCAACTAAACGAAGCGGACTACATCTACACGCATCTACCAGATGATGGTGCGATGGTCGCGCTCGACCGACTTGCTGGTGGAAAGCGGAAAGGGTAAGGTATGGTAGTGCTGCAGCAGTTCACATGCGGGTCAGGACCCGACGCAGGCTCCTCAGTCTCCATTGGGCTAGATGGGATCAAAGGGCAAGGACCAGCTCCCAGTGCACTGTGCGCTAATCAACGACCCGGCTGGGTGGTGCATATCCGCTCTCCCGTGGGAGCCTTGAAGGCTGCTGTGCTGGGTGATAAGCAGCCACAATTGCTAGCACGAGCTAATCGGTACTAGATATTCTCCTCGTCCACAGCTACCGACTAGCCCCACGCAACGCAGTAGCTCCCTCCTCCACTTTCAGGAGTAGGTACCTATGTACTCTGTTGCTAACCTACACCAGGAGGTCGTTAAGTGACTCTGAGCACTTTCTGCTTCACCAACGGAGTCGTGCCTCCGGTTCCTTCAAGCCAGCGAAAATTTTCTCCCAACCCCTAGTATCCGACTCTTGGTGAAACAGAGACCGGCCGCGGACCACCATGTCCTGCAGCGAACTCGTTCAGAACCGGATCGACTAGGGTGGGCGGCTTTGTTTCTGAAGGCCTGCCCCTCCCTATCTATCCCCACGCAATTGACTGGGCATTCATGCTGGGCCTAGTGTTCGACTGGGCATGTTGTGCGTATCCCGGAGTTGGAATTACCGCCTGCGAACGGGTGTGGTGCGTGCAATCCCCATAAAGACCAGTGCAGTAGGATGACATGAATATGCAAGCTTTCGACGGCGACTGGCTGCTGGGCCTCGTTAATCTGAACCGTTGCCAACCGCCGCCGCTACACCAAGGATGTATTGATGGTGCGCAGATGCCTGCACCGTGCAGTAGCAAAAAACGTGGACGATGGCGCCGGTCCGACATACTAGACAGCGCTGCGGCCGCTTTGGCTTCGGGCACTGTAGTGGATTGATCGGGATGTAATGGCAACGGTGATGATCTCTAAGCTAAGTACCCAAGTACCAAGGAAGCCCGTAATAATATCATAATGCTACTATATAATAACGTGACGTCGACGACAGCGAGTTGTGCCCTTGGTGGGACCCGGGCTCGACAACCTACAGAATCTACGACGGACTTATGCATACAGCTCTCACTTAGTTTAGTTTCTACACTACACTTCACACCAATGTACTTCTCAGTATACGACGTGCATATCTTAAGATAGCCGCCCGGATGGCCTCACACGAGTCAGGGCGACGATCCCTCCCTGACCCTCGAACCCCAGTGCGTTTTCATCAGTTTCCCTGCGATGCGCTTGTTTATTGGATATCACATCGGAGTTTAGCAATCTCACGGCGAGATCATCCCATCATCCCATCAAGCCTACATGCATATGCATTTGCGCCTGTCACCGCTCCCAAATCAGACTCACTCATTCCTCATACGGAACCCCCCACTTCCTAAGCTGCATGTTGGTGGTTGGATTGGCGCAACCCTATATGCACCTCTATGCAGGTATCAAAGCGCGTGACAGGATAGTGCGCATTCCGCCATCACATTATGGGACGAAAAACTCTTGTTGCCCCTCCCAACGTCCCCCTCCCCTTCCCATGCGCGTAGAAACATGCCCATCATAATGGCTGACCATTCCCAGCTTGGGCAGCTTCGTGAGCGAAGATCATGACTGTTAGCTGCTGTATCTGCACGATGTAACCTCAATAAGCCATCACCATTTTTGTCAACAATCCAACATGGGGCTGCTTTCTACCTGCAGCTGTCCGCTCTGAGCTTGTCCCCCCATCGTTTAGTTCTTTTTTCTGTATGCCCTGTTCTCTCACCTCGCTTAGTGTTCTCTCATCACGTATCATAGTTTGTAGGTAGTTTTCTCACAAGGAATTTCTTTTCCAGGTTGGGAGAAGATATCTCACTATTTTCTTTTTCTCTCGCTTTTTTCTTTCTTCTTTTCTTTTTATTTTCCTAATTTGGTGTCCGGCATATTCGTGATAGTAAGATGGAGTTACTTCGTGTTACTGTTCAAGTTGGTGCGCAAATCGTAAATCGGACAGGGACCTTGCTTTTGCGCATGCATTTCAATAAAATGTACATTGATGTAACCAAATTGCGCGTCGGTCCTAATTTGTAGCTGTATTCTATGGTATATGCTCATTCCTGTAAAACGAGTTGTCTATCTACAAACGTCCACCTTAGTAGCCAACATTAGGAGATTCAATCTGAATCCTCTCAAGCAGTAGGTCGGCCAGCGTCTCTGGGAAGCCGGGGCCATCGCCATCAGCCCGAGCTTCGAAAATGCAGTCAAGCACGTTCTTGACAGCAATGTTCACACGGCCCTGGGTGTTCTCGTGGAGGATGCGAAGCACTGTCTGCACGTCGTCCTGGCCAAGGCGCCCGGATTCCTGCAGTACGATTCTGATCTCCTCCAGCCCGGACAACGAAGGCACGGCGACCTTCTTGGCAAAGTCACCGTCAATCTCGAGCATGTCGAGCGTTGACTTCTTGGAGGTTGTTACGAAAATCAATAGACGGTGACCCTATTTCGAAAGTTAGCAAAGGGTCACTTTGAGACATCGCTCGAGGGATTGATCCCATCTTACCTTGGGAGGCTTGGAGACGAGGAGAGTAGTAAGTGCTTCTAACATGACATTGGAGAAGCGCTGGCCGATTGGGTTCCACCCAATGAGACGTTCGAAGTCGTCGAGAATGAGGATACTGTGGGGAGATTTGTAGGCATCGGTGAAAATCTTGTGGATATAGTCCTTCTTTGCAAAATCGTCCCGGTAGCCCACCAGATCCAGCGGCCTGATTAGCTTGACGAATGGGAAGCCAGACTGCATCGCGATATGGGCAGCAAGTGCAGTCTTTCCAGCACCTCTGGGTCCGTGGAACAAAACTGAGGTGCTGAACTTGTCCGAGTCGTTCTGAATCATGCTCACAACACGATTCATGCTGTTGATGGTCAAATCAACATTGTTGTTGTATGGGATAATCTTGAGTCCCACAGCCTCCTCGAGTTCTGCCTCAGAGACACCATACGCTGGGCGAACCTCTGTCAGGGCGTTCATAAAGTCGCTGCGGTTTACCTTCATACTGGCAACGTCGGATTTGACCGCTGCCAGTTGGCCAACTTCAGTATGACGGGAGAAAGCAAAGGATGCTGCAGCCTTGACCAGACCGTTCAGTTCTGCACCCGAGTAGTTCTTGGTCAAGCTGGCCAACTCCTTGATATCCACGTCTCCGTCCAAGAGGCCGTTTTGGGCAATCTTGGAGGTGTGGATCGTGAGAATTTCTTGACGACCATTCTCATCTGGGAGCGAGATCTCAAGATGGACCTCCAATCGACCTGGTCGCAGCAGGGCATCATCGATCATGTCCTTTCGGTTGGTCATTCCGATGAGCAGGATGTTGTTCAACTGGTCAACACCGTCCAACTTTGATAGCAGCTGGTTGACCACACTGTCGCCAACTCCCGTGCCACCACCAGCACCAGAACCTCTCTGTTTGCATACAGCATCCAATTCATCGAAAATAATGATATGGAGACTACTCTCGTCGCCCTTCTCCTTGTACTCCTTCTCTGCATCTGCAAAGAGCTTTCGGATGTTCTCCTCAGATTGACCAACATACTTGTTCAGAACCTCAGGGCCGTTGATAACCTTGGGTGGCCGAGCGTTCAGGGCTTTGCCAATCTGTCTGGCGATCAAGGTTTTCCCGGTACCTGGAGGTCCATAGAGAAGCATACCCTTAACGTGAGGAATACCCATCTTTGCGATGAGTCCCGGGGGGAAGACTCGGGAAGCAAAGGCACGACGGAAGATAGTAGAGAATTCATTGCCCAATCCACCAATACCCATATCCTCAAACTTGAAATCTGGAGCAAGAATGGCGTTGGAGTTGGCCTTGTTCATAGAGGGTTTCAAGTTGAAGTTGCCCTTTCCGTCTCTGTGGAAATTGATCCTGGTCTGGTCTGTCAAGATACCTCGAGCATATGGCTCTCTGTGGACTTTCTTGTTGGGGTCGTCTGAAGACATGGAAAGATCGATGAGCCCGATAGTCTTGACAACTATCAGCATTGGGATATTCCGGACATCCATGAGAATTCGTTGACCAGGGGCCAATATTTGGTTCCCGAATGTGTTGATGAAAACATCGCTCAACTCTTCCTCATCATATGGGGCATCGGTAACCTTGTTCGGCGAAGCAAAGCCAATCTCTAGGTCCAACGTTCCAAGATATACCTTGCCGCCGGCCGAAAAGGGGTCGTAGAGTTCTCCGGTGAAGGTGTCTCGCAATGTAATACCCGCCCACGAACGCTGAGGATCGGACAGACTGATGCAGCCCTGAGGGAAGCCTTGTACGGGCTCCGCTGTGACCACATATTCGCCTTCGGGTTTGCCGCCTCGGATAAGGACGTATGGGTTCGTGCCATCGCGGTTTCGAGGAAAGTCTTGGGGAGACACGGCACAGCTAAGGAATCGCAAGTGTCAGGACAAGACCATCGTCGACTGGCCAGATGGGATGGGTATAAAGCTTACAGGTTACCGTAGATGACACGGGATTGAAGAGTCTTGTCATTGCTGATCTTTTCAATTCGGAGAGGGACCTGTCTGCCGCCACCGGGAGGGGCCTTCTCGTTGTATCTGGGAGCGCCTTGGCTAGGCTGGCTGGGCCTCATAGAAGGGTTACTATGTCCTTGGGGAGAATTGCCATATCCCTGAGGAGCGTTCCCGTATCCTTGAGGAGAATTGCCGTATCCCTGGGGAGCGCTACCGTATCCTTGGGGTGCGCTGCGTCCACCGCCAAATGGACTCCAGCCCGAGCCGCCTGATGGGGGCTGTCTTGACATTGTGACGTACGCTGGGAGGAGCCGAGCCCACCGTTGAGAGATGGAGAATTAGGTGAGGTAGGGAAAGAAGTCGCTTGGATGACGGTATGAAAGGGAAAGGCACAGTTGTTAAATGCTAGGACAACCGGTTTGTTTGATGTAGGTGTTCAAGTTCAAGATGACGGAGGTCGACACCTCCAGGCCACATCGAAGCCCCACGCTACCCACCGCTGGACTGAGCTGAAGGTATGCTTCAGCCACACTTGATGCATCCGCCCCCACTTCTTAGGCAGGGACCAAACCCCAGATGTTACATCTTCCCATGGCGTGTGGCAAATGAAGATTAAGCCGTTGCCTGGCCCAGGCTTCTAGATTCTGACATATGATTGCGATTTCTGTCCTTTGATGGGAACAAGCTGCTGTGTTTGCGACTTGGATGCTGGAACTGTCGAGTCGGAGCTCTCCCCGCTGACGTCAGCCACAGGCTGCGAACGTTCAAGTCTCATCTCGGCACATCGCTTGAACATCCCTAAGCTTTTCCCGGCCTTGCGGGCAGCTCAACAAGATGCCACTGTAAGTCATCCACAAAAGGACACCTTTCAATCTGATGTGTAGAACCGACGCTCACATTTAATTTAGCCATCTTCTGGGGAAGAAGTCCTGGAACGTCTACAATGAAAAGAACATCGCCCGCGTTCGTCGCGATGAGGCTGCCGCACAGGCCGCCGAGGAGGCGGAGGAGCAGCGCATGCAGGAGGTTGATGCCGCGAGACGCCTAGCAATTCTGCGCGGCGAGGAGCCGCCCCCTATTGAGGATGAGCAGCCAAAGGAGGTTGATTTGACCCACAGCCGGGATCCCTCATTCTTCGCAGACAGGCCCAAGAAGAAGAGAAAGCGCGCCGGCGAGGATGACACCGAATTTGAACTCCGCCTTGCGCATGAGAGGAATGAAGCTCAGTATGGCAGTCTTGAGGTCAGCAAGAAGCCATCTAGCTCAGCTCCTATCATGGATCGCTCTGGGCACATTGATCTCTTTGGCGATGAGCGCGCCAGAGCCCATGGTGAAAAGAACGAGGAAGCAGAGAAGGAGGCCAAGAAAAAGAAGCGGGAGTTTGAAGATCAATATACCATGCGCTTTTCGAATGCTGCTGGGAAGGATGGATTGGCACAGAGTCCCTGGTATTCCAAATCTGACATGTCAGCACCTTCACAGCCGACAAAGGACGTTTGGGGGAATGATGACCCGAAGCGAAAGGGCAGAGACGACCGGCGTCTAGCCGCCAATGACCCCTTAGCAGCGATGAGAAGTGGCGCATCCAAAGTTAGGGAACTGAAGGCCGAAAGGAAGAAACTCCAGGCCGAGAGGGAGGAGGAACTCAGACAACTGCGCAGAGAACAACGGCATAAAGAGAGAAGAGAGAGGAGAGATGATCGATCGCCAAGACCTCAATCGTCTAGAGATTACCGGAGGCACAGGGATCGATCACCAGAGAAAAAAGAAGACGGTGAAAGATATAGCGACCGAAGAAGAGGGAGTCGCCGAGATCGAAGCCCAGAGAGGAGACGACACAGATCGCATTCACCGGAACACAGTCGGAGTCGTCATCGGTATGTGAAGGAACCAGCTTGATACCCATTGTTTTAAAGAATGATTGTATTGGCAAAAAATAATATTGAAATTGCACCTACTGGCTGAGGTCTCCGTCATAGAAGTGCTACTTCTTCGAGCTTTCAACCCATGGAAGTTTGATCTCAACAGGGCGCATATCCTTTTCAACCATGTCGACCAATGTGCTCGCCTCTAAACCCTTCAAACCCTCCATGATCTTACCAAGGGTAGATTCACTGATGCCCTGCTTTTGATCGCAGTAAATATCTAAACCCTCTTTTGTAAAGACAGTTGGCGCAAACCACGTCACAGCCCACTTCTCCACGGTCCCATCTGGGGTTTTCGCCTCACCCCAGCCTATAACCTCCCAGTGGGACGTGACGAAAAACAGCCAACCTTTGCCTCGCCAGTTCCATCCGGACTTTGGATCCTGCGAATCCACGCCCGTGACGTTTTTCAGCACGCCCGTCTTGTCCAGCGGCTCGTACTCGACCAGGTCGTCGATACGGGTGGTCCCATCACCTGCTGGGGCCATCTTCGCGTAGCTGATGCGCACGTTGCGCGCCGACCGCCACATTGAGAGCGTTGAATGCGTGACGCTCCATGATCTTTCTAGCCAATCCACGGGAGGCGGTGGGTGAGCCTCGCTGTCTTGAACTTTTCCATTGGCGTATTTCGAGGGTAGGCGGAGGGTGATTGGCTCAATTTCCGCCATCTTCTAAGCCCTCTCTGTTTATTCTTATGAAATGAGGACTGTGTTGGAGGAGGTTGGTGCCGTGGTCGAAATAATCGACACACGCTGGGCAAGCGGCGCGATATTGGACCTGGAGGGAGGGCGATGAAGCGCGTCATAGCCATGCCGCTTTTGTGAGACCCAGAAGCTGTGTTAGAGCTGCTCATTTTGGTGTAAGTGGAGAAAAAGCGGCGAGGCGGCTAAGGCCTTTTCTCTGAGAACGCCGATCAATCCGTTGAATCGTCTTCGCTGCTTTGTTTCATATTACTAAGTTTTCCAGATTCTCTATCACATATGGAACTTTTTGGATATTGCAATGTTTGAAGGTCTGAAATTGATTGAGGGTTTCTGATTTTAGGGAGAATTAGACTGGTGGCTACTATAAGACGAATGTCAATTCTTGGAATGATGAAACTTCAGTATCCGGCTCAGTAAACACTCTTCCAGAGCCAGTAGAACCACCGACCAGATTACAGTACCTACTAGCCACGAATGGATCTTATATAAGTGTCACCAACTTTGACAAGTTGTCTCAGCGAGGGATGTAGAGTCCTACCATCATAACGTAAGGTGAAGTTCTAGAGAGGCAAAGAAATCCGACGGACCTCCTTAATACTCATGTCAAATAAACGCACCTGGATGCCGGTACTGACAGTGTATTAATCGTGTAGAGGCAAAATTTTCGACTTCAACTCTCGAGTTCTCGTTCTCAAGGTTGGGTAAAGGTACCTACCTACCACCTAGTATGAGGCAGGTTGATATCACGAGATTAGTCAGCATCACGCAGAGCTCAGGTAGCCACGGCCCAACCTACTATCTTCATTCCATCACATCTCATCTGAGATCCAAACTAATTCCTCAACCATCGGAACAACTATTGCCAGAACGTCCCATTCCATACTTCCAGCTCAAGTGGGAACCCATTCACGGCAATTAAATTCAACCACAGAGTTCACAGCGACTCATTCAACCCAGTGAAAAAAAATGGAGCAGGATGAAGGCGTCGATGACATGGCCCAAATGATGGGATTCTCCGCCTTCGGCTCCCAGGACCGCCCGCAGAAGAAGCGCAAGTACAACCCAAACGCCGACTCCTTCGTCGAGCGCCAGCCTCCCCAGGCCGCCACCACGAGCTCCAACTCAATCCCCCTGGGACCGCCGCCCGTGACCAAGCCGTCCGCCAACGCGGATGAGATTGATCTCGGGGATGACGACGGCGAGGACGGCTCACCCGCCGTGAAGGAGGCCGTGCCGGGCGGCGGCGGCGGGGGGAGCATCCCCGAACCAGGCGTGAACAGCTTGCCCCGGCGCCCAGCCGTAGGTGCGGGCGAGGACGGTCCTGCTTCCAAGGGGGCTCACCCGGGTCATGGACCGCGGACGCACCACAGCCGCGCCGCAGGTCATGACAGCCACGGAGGCAAGCCGTGGTACGATGGCTACTACGACAGCATCTCCAATGAAAATCCATGGGAGAAGCTGGAAAAGACCATGAATTTGCAACCCCTTGGCGGTGTCTGGAAATGAGCAGCCGGTGAACATGCTGAGATGCTACATTATCCACTCCCGGAGGACGATATGGGCAACCATACGACCCAATTTATAGTATCTTACCCTCCGTCTCGTGTCAATTATGGCAGATACCTTTATGGCTCTGGTATATCTATCAATGTCACGTCACGTGACCAAATACCAACCTCATACTTCATGAGCGGCTACCACACGGCCTGGGTACCATCCAAGGTACACGACTGGGGAACCCCTGGGGCTAGCCTGGACCCTCCTAACCTGCTACGGAGGGCTAGACTGGGGGCGAGCACACGTCACTGGCATCAGACACACGAGGCACAAGAGCGGGCAGGCTCAGGAGCTCTCTATCCACGGCGTGGGGGTGTATACACGAACAGAGAGCGGACCATTGACAGCTTCACGAATTAGAAGCCGAGACTTCAGCCTGAATTATCCTAGTGCGAGATGTTTACTAAGGAGATGGAGGAAGAAAGAGAACTGGAACCTGTTTGCTACCATTTCATACGCCCCCGTTTCCCAATAAAGCAGAACATCTTCCGAAAAGGAAAAGCGCTCCGAGCTGATCTCAGACCAAGAAAACCTCCGAACCTTAGTGGTTTTTTGTCCCCTTTGCCATCGTTCCTACTCATTGGTCCGCCCTGCCGGGGAGGTAGGACACCCCCCTCCCCAAAGTAGGAGGTGAGGATCAATCTGTGATATACCTAAACCATTACGCCCCTGCCGCTCAGAGATCATACCCAAAATTCTCCGTGCCACCTATGAACGCTCGACAGATGGTCTGGAGGCCAGGGAGGTGGTGTACGCTTAAAATACCAAAAATATCATCCAATCATACCCAGTCATTAGCCGTACATAGTGTGTCGCAATTCAGCTGTAGCGCCTTTCCCACACGCCCTCCCGCACCGAATGTATCGGTGTGGGAGATGGGAGGAGAGCTAGGCTGAACGCTTGTCATTAAAAGCAGCGAGAGATCGAGGCAGGCAGGTGATGCTGCCAGTGCCTGCAAGATTCCCGCGATGGCGTCAGGGCTGTCCCACGTGGGAATAAGCTTCCCCCGTCGGATCGTGCCGTAGTGGTGGTGGTGTGTCGCTGCTACCTAGAAGGCAAAACAAGCCACCACGGCAAGAAAAAGCCAATCGCCTCAACAAAGGAGATAGAAAAAAGTCGTTGTTCAATTTAGGAACGGCATGCTTGCCGGTTCCTGCATTGATATTGAAAATTGAGAGACATGCCAAGCATGCATTTTTTAGGGGGCTGCGGTGGCCCCCATTTTTGTGCTTCAACGGCCGGATATAAAGAAAAGACCCAAGGAGAAGAGAAGTAGTAATATGTGCAAATTGGCCGTTGAGTTTGCGCACACTCCATTTCAGAGATTTAACACTCAGGAGAAGGATACCTGGCGCGGGCCTTGGCGTACTCCTTGGGATGCTTTCGCGAGGCCTTGGTCTGGAGCGATCTGTGGGGTTGTCTGTCAGTCTCACGGCTTATTATGGAGGATGGATGCCGAATCTGCTTTTTCTCATCTCCACTCGGGTCAAAAGACACCCGGGGCGGTCAAGGGAGAGAAAGCAGAATTGCCCATTGCATCTTCTTTTCCTCTTTGTAAAAATGAGAGAAAAAGGCAGAGCTGGGACTGTGCAACAGAGGCGACAGGGAGAACTCACGAGACTTTCTTCTGGGTCCACTCAAGGTCGCCGCGGACTTCACGAGCATCGCGCATGCCCTCTTGGAAGCGCTCGCGGGTTTTCGCGAGACGGGCCTGAGCCTGCTTCTGGAGATCCACGAGCTCCCGGTGCTTGGCATTCAGCTTTCCGGATCTGGTTTCAGCAAATGACGCACTCGATGTTAGCTTCATGATTATTTCTCTCTCGTTATTTTGATTAAATGGAAATGAGGCAGGTGATGATAATAAGACGGCCCATTCTCATGGAGGCGTCCTGGGCTTTCCTTTTTATAGTACCGTGGCTTATACGTAATCCCCTCTTGCCGAGATTTCCTCCCAGTGGAGAAGCTGGCTCGAGGGTGGAATAATAAAGGCATTGAGGAAAAAGAAACGAGATGAGGTGAAACTTACGTCTGCGCCTGAACAGCCATGCTGCGGTCCAGGGGGATGGGGTTGAAGGAGTGCGAGAAGCGCTCCTGCATGTACTCCTGGAAGTCGACTCCACTGGCCGAGCGGGTGCTGTCGTAGTCGCCGGTGGAGCTACCCATGTAGCCAACGGAGGTACCGGAGTATCCCGAGGGAACACCGGATGCATGGCTCATGGTTTCGTCGCAGTCCATGGGCGAGGCTGAGTATTGGCTATAGGTAGGGTACTGGTTGCCCATGGGCATGGAATAGGCGGTGTGGTGGTGGTAGGGGGCCGACATTATGTTGTGTTGTGCTGTGTAAGAGTGTATGTGCCTTGCTGATGGTCCTTAAGCGGTTGCTTATCGCTTGTGGGAACGACCAGGGAGAGGTCTGGAGAGCCAATTGCCTTGGGTAGGGGGTGATTCTTTGGCTGCCTAGTTGAAGACTGCCTGGCAGGTTGACCCGGTGCGTTCTAAACACGGGGCAAGATGGAGTGAGACAGGAAGACCTTGGTAGGTTCAGGTGATGTGGGTTGATGAGACAAGTTGGCGTGGCCAAGGTCTTGTCAAGAATTCTTTGAAGTTCAAGAAGGTGAAGAGAGGTAGGCAGGTAGGTTGGTGATAGACTAGGTAGAAGTAGGATCTGAGAAGTGAGTCTGAAGAAAGAAAATATAAAAGGAAGAAGGAGAAACCTGGGTCAACCTTGTCCATCTTGGCCCCTTTTATAGTTTTCTCAATGCTCAGAGATAGCTCAATGGCATTCCCCAGACTTGTGTGAACGATCATCTTGGCTCTATTCGTCAATGATGATGGATCCAAGACCCCGCTCGAGTCCATCGAAGTGGAAGCGAACCGACGATGGCTAGGTGAGAGGTTGTCAAAAGACACTCCCCCCAAAGAGTTGAAGTCCATGGAGGCGTAGGTGTATCCATAGGATGGCTTGGTAGTCCGCCCGATGGAGCCAAGGTGCATCCTAGCTCTCATCGAGTTCTCAATGAGGGAGGGGGGGTGGACGAACATTGAACCATACACAAGCTAACTAACAACTATCTCTGGTAAGGTGGTAGGAAAACACATGTAGATAACTAACGCAACTCGAACCAGGGAACTTGGAGATCCGCCGGGGCTCTAGGCTGGAGACGGAGGGAGAAAGGTGGGTAGGAGGAAGGGCGTGCGTATATCCATGGATCAAATTACCAGAAAGAGCAAAGAAAAAAAAGACATTTTGTTTGCATGCTAAAACGTAACCAAATAAGCGCCCCCCCCTTCAAAGCATAGACAGATGGGGGAGATCCGCGTGAATGCCGCCCAAGCAAATAAGAAAAACCTAGATCTTGGGTCTGGAATTGGTGGGAACTGCAGTTAGTGAACGAAGATGAAGATCGGAACCGGGTACAAGGGCAGGGGTTTGTAACGCAAATCGACATGGGAGGTACATAGCAGGTGCATTGCCGGTGACTCGAGACATCCCGACGAAGGAAAAGAAACCTCGAGGGGGGTTGCTAAATCAGCCGGTGACATGGCAGCAGGCATACTGCTTGAACAAAGAGACAATTGACATGAAAAGGGTGGTTGCTAAACCATTGGGACCAGCGGCGAGCCAATGGAGGGAAAGGGCGCCAACAATGTCTCCAACGTTTGGTCAAATGGCCAGGCAGACGGGCGAGATGGAATGGAGAGCCGCTACGTCGGTGGTACATAGTGGAAGACCTTGCGAGGTGGGGAAATGGAGCACCTGCGCTCCTGCTGTTGCTGCTGCTCCTGCTGCCCGTAGATTGGATTATTGAGGCAAGTACCCGAGGTGGACGCTCCTCCCCAACGGTCCCGGGAATGGATGAGGACAATGCATCTTGCATGCAGTGAATTAGTAGCCGGGTCTATGCAATGCTTGCTTCCAAGCCCGTTACTCTGGGGCAGAAAAAATTGTGTACCAGCCTGTTGCTTGCTGGCTGAGGCCGAGTGCTAAACTAACACTGAAAGCTTATGATGCCTACCTACCTAACAAGAAAAGCTAAGGCAGGGAAGAATAAAACGACGTCAAGGAAGTACCCAGCCAGGTACCGCCGGGCGTTTTTTTGGATGAAGACACACCATGGGTAACTCAAACAACCAGATGACAGCGAAGAACACGTCTTCGCCCTCCCTGGCCGGCCGCCGTCCTACCATTGACAAGGGACACAGGAAACTCTGACGCAAGGCCCTAAAAGTGGCATTGGATTATTGCATACGGTCCCACTTCTAGAAAAAGACGCCCATCCATTCCACTGGCCATCCAAAAGGCTGGGTGCGATCCAGATAAGGCAGGTTCGTTGGGAGTCTCCCGAGTACATCATAGTGCCACCTCGGCCAACTGCGTGGCCCTGAGACCTCCGTGCGTGTGTGCTGATTGCTATGGCGAAAGCCACGGCGGGAGGAGCCTGCAGGTCGGGCAGGGATGCATGGGGCAAAACGAGGCGTGTTGATGCGTTGTCACAGGCAGATGGTAATTAGTGTGTACTATATGAGTCTACTAATACTACCTGAGTCCAGCACAGTGGGGGAGGATGGAATAAAAATTTTGGTTTGGGAGAGAGCCGAAGCACGACCAGAAGGGGGGAAGAGCAGGACCCGGCAGGTGATACAATCATTGATTACACGGTCTGCCTACATGGATGAGGGCTTGGGAAGAAAAAAAAAGCAACGGAATAAGACTGCAGTCTCGCTCCGGGGATATCCTGCCCATTGAACTGGAGACGGCTTGACTGGCCGTTTTTTTCGACCTACTTGTGAGCTTGTCATTGGCCGAGGTCCAGTCACTTGGGATTTCTTGGGCTGGTGATTGGCTTAAAATGAGGCAGCCTGCCAATAATGTGCTGGGGGGTGACAATGCTCGTGGATCTCAATGGATGGATCTCGCGAAGGGTCCAGCTCGCTCGGATACGATAGCAAGATACCTCCTATCCATTCACATCTGGTGGTCAGAGCAGGTACCTGCTATCTAACAGCTGTCAGTACCCATCTCACCAATCTGGCATGGGACTGGTTAGTGGATGATCGCTGACGATTTGCCCCTCCCCCACTTCACCACACTGGGCTGGCCTCGAGCTTGACTCTAGTATTAGCATCGCATCTCGTTGCTTTTATGACCTCCGCTATTGCAGCAATGCAATAGCACGCGCTGCTAGTATCCTGTGCCATCCTGGGAACTACAGAGTATACCAGCGACACTGGGTCCCCGTATTTCTCAGCCTCAGTCAGCTTGCTCTTCCCTGTATCATGCTGGTCTGCGTATGCGGCAGAATCCTGGGGAGAGCTCTGCCCCCTTCCTCGTCGCTTCCATAGCCGACAAAGAACATAGGCGTCCAGCTTCACCGATATTCGCGTGTCGCCCTCCATCATTTGATTGACCGACCATCTCCGATTACTGGCCATGCAGGCAAGCGTTGTAATGTCTCACAGCATGTCCGGTTTAGTGTCGGCCCCATCTTGTGAGCCATCATCTTGGAGAGGGGGAGCGGATCACTCTTGCATGCCCAACCATCCACACCCAGGTATCCCAGCAATGCCACCATTGTGCCTTAGCTCCAGCAAGTCGAACCCCAGTCCTCGCAGGATGTGGCATAGGCGTGGCATCGACGTATCAAGGTTGCAGCGGAGCTGATCGAGGGGGCCTTAGTCCGGTCCGGTCGAGCAGGGTTTCCCATTCAGGACGACAATGAGCGTGAATTAGAAAAAAGTTTGCCTGCGCGCCGGACCTCCGTGAATGACATAATGCCGGCTCTTGGTCGGGACATTTGTCGCAGGACAGAGCAAGCTGTATGTAACCCGAGGATGTGCTTGCCCGCTATTACAGCCCCGAGGTCGTAGCGAGATCGTCGCTGACGCTTCTGCTGGCCGACCCTCAACCGCCAGAAGGAATATACAAGCTGTCAGCTGCATGGTTGGACAAGTGCAAGAATTCGTCTTGCTCAACTTGGCGCCCTCTCCTAGCGCGAATGTACAAGCATCAACCTCGTCCGCCCGGGAACGTGCGGATGCGGAAATTCGCAAGGCAGGAAAGAGGGTAGACGGTGGATGCGGAAGGAAGTACGGACGAACACGGTTCAAGGGCACAAATTTGCCAGATAGGCGAGGCGATCATGGCCCGCAACAGCTCATCATCATCGCTGGCCGTGGGGCAGGCAGCGAGAACGAGAGCTGGATTAATTAAATTGATTGATTCTTTTCTTTTTTCCTCGCCCCTTTTCTTCAATAGGTGCCACATGATGGCCTAGTCATGCAAAGAATGTCGAAGCGGAGGGACAGGGGGAAGGAAGACCGTTGGCACAGCCATTGTGACCGTTTTACTTTTTCCGCCTCGCTTCTGCACCGTTGAGATGGAAGGAAAAAGATACTAACAGTCTGACCTATTGGACGGGCTCTAGATTGACACGAAGAAAAATCTTGCCCCTGTCAATGGCTTCTGCAACATGCTAGCATCACGTACCGCATGTATCTGTGTACATACACACGGACACACAGACATACGCACATACAGACCTACATACACGTACGTCCGCTCGGTACATCTCACAGATACGATACGCTGGCGTTTTCTTGGCAGCCGTTTGAGTGAGCCGCGCACGACACGGATTCCTGTGTACCGGTTGCAGTGCATGCGTGTCCTGCGAGGAATCCCTGCCCACACCGGGGAGCGAATCAGCAAGGGCAGATCCAGATTCGAATGCGCGAACGCCATTATGCGTTACAGAGGTACTTGACACGTCTCTCCATCTCATTCGACTCCCCCAAATGTGTTGTAGATCGGGGGAACGAACCTGAGATCTGACGGGCCTGGGATTGGGCCAATCCCCATACCCTTCCTAGCCGGACTCCGCTGCCCAGCAGACAGAGGAGGGGCCTAGAATGCAACGAGGGCAAAAGGCGAGTCGTGGCATTGGCAAACTGGGAGACGGAGAATGGAATACATCACCACCACCACCACCTCTGCCAGTGAGGAGGCGAACAATGCGAGAAGAGGCCGTTTGTCCACCTCATAGCACACGCCTCCTCCAAAAAGCAGGGACAACTCACTGGCGAACGCACCACCCCCGGTCAAGGTTTTTTTGGTCCTATTGATTAAGTTTTCTTAGTTTGCTGTCAACGTTGCTTCTTGCAAGGGCCCTGGCGGGGCCAAAGATGATGTTCTCGGTGGCACGAAGCACTGATGATGGGGCACCGTCTCATAGGCTGGGCGAGCCGTGGTGAACAGAAGAATCCATCCCCCTCCCCTCCTTCAGAAGAGACGCATTCGAGAACAGTCCAGCGCGTGGCTACCTGTGTGTCATCGCCGAGAACTAGCAGGAGAGAGCGTACCGAGCAGCAGGTTGGTCAATTCAATGATGACTGGAGACATTGTACTCGGATATGGTACTCTAACCTCCTAACTTTCCAGCTCAATAACACGGCAATCTACAGGTACATTGTGACCCCAAATCTCCCCCCAATACGCTCTGGTGCGCTACCAATTCTGTCGCGTGTTTTATCTACAGTTACAGTAGAATTTTATGGTTGAATAGGGGACAGGAACAGTTCACGGCCTGGGGGCCATGTCAAGACCCTTCGGCCATCCATCCACTTGGCAAATGGCCCCTCTCCGTGTTCCCCGCGCTCGCGTGTGTGCGCCTGGCGTGTGCACCAACACATTGGTTGGTGTGGAAGAGAGAAGGTGTGTGTGTGTGTGGTGCTGTTGTGCGTGTTGGCAAACAACCGCTTTGCTGGCCCTTCCATTTGGACGCATCCAGTCCCCGCTTGTGCAATCACTTACGGTTGAGCACATGTAGAATCGTACGTGCGTCAAGCCGGGGCAAGGTAGTTTCGCTGGCACGAACCCATCTCGACTGATTCTTCCTGCCAGATATGAACCGTTCTGCAGCGTCTGCACAGCTGGCAGATCCTTTGACGCAACCGCATCGCCTCTGCTCACCTCCAGCCCGGGATCGGGAAGCTGCTTTCGAGACCGAGCAGTGATAACGGCCTGCACAACGTCGTCGGCATTTCCACATTTCCTACTGTAGTGCTTGCCCCCAAATGCCGATAGAATCTTTGTGGTATTCAGTCATATTATAATACTTCTTATTGTTTCTTATTATATGCTAGTAAGTAGAGAATATTGCCTAATAATAGGTTAATAATTTATTATTATTATTCATTATCTATTAGTATGAAAGTTGGGAGAAGACATGTTTGCAGTCCTGTTATTCTAACGCCCACTTGCCCCCTCTCCAACGGTGACTTGGCAGATTACATGTCTGTCTCACTTACATACAGATCCCGCATATGTTGGCACCTTTCGAGCGCAATAGCCGCAACCTTCCGTTGCCCTGCTGGCCCGCCCCTCCCATCTCACCGACCAAACCCTTGCGGTGACGGACATGTTCTCCGAGTGACAGGGTAGGCCTTGAACCCGTAACGTCCAGCCGGCCTGCCTGCGCCCCTCCTTACTCCGACGTGGGAGAGAGCTAGAGCCAAGACATACCACGTAGTTACCTGCACGGCATTCCTTCCTACAGGCTGGCCCCGGAAGAACTTCCCCCAAAAGCTCTACCCGGAGCTCCAGGCTCCAGAGGGAGGGGTACACGAAGCCCATCCCTGGAATCTTCTTCTTGCAACGTACATGGCGGCACCGGGTTTCACTCAGCTACGCAGGGTCCCGTTTGTGTAGACGCGGGCGCGCACATGTTGCAAGCGGTAGGTATGTTTGTTTTCCAGTTTGCTGAAAGATCCCTTTTTTATGTTCTAATTATGCTATGCTATGACCCCTTCTTGCCGGTACCACCAAGGGGGAAAAACAGGCGCCTTGCAAGAATCGAGTATGGTCCCCATCTATCTCCCTTTTTTTCTTCTCTCGAATCTGGTAATATCCGACCTTCAATCCATACCTTGTATTCTGTTGTAAAAGCAAACCGAAGAAAAAAAAGGAGAAAAAGGTCTATCGACATAGTATAGAGCTGCCCGTCGAATCATGCCGAGACATAAATCGTGCATGAGTAAAGAGAGAGAGAGGAGGGTAAGGAAAGCATACTACAGGGGAGCTTCCTAATGAGAAACCTCTGATAGGTTCTTTCGATTACAACCGCCGCCAGCCCCAAAATGATCGTGAGAGTGCATCCAAAAGTCGTTGATATCCATAAGCCAGTGCGGCCGTTCCCACATGGTTGCCAAAATAGCAGTAAACCAGGGTAGAGTGGTTGTGGGGAGAGTTCCACAGAGATATGCACGGCATCCGCATGTTATACAAGTGTGCACTACGGCATGTTGCGCAACCCTGGAGGTACCGGATGCATTGGCTCTAAGTGAAGATCTTGAGGAAACCCCACATGCCAATTCCACTCAGCACGGGGATCGTCAGGTTGTCGTCCCATCCGAAGATGTCGACCACCTCGCTGGCCGAGGCAATGAATCCAGCCCAGATGCTCATCACGCCCAGGGCGAGGGGTCCAGTAATGGTAGCCTGGGCTTTGGTGAGCCCCAGGGCGTTGGCAGCAACTGCTGGCAGGGACAAGGAATCCTGGAACATGAAGGTCTCGTCCCCGGGCATTGGGCCAATGGTCTTGGTGAGCCATCCGTAGAACATGTACGAGGTGGCCACGCCAGTTATGGCGGCAGCGAGAGAGCCGGCCAATGACTTGCCGCGGCGAAGTCTGGGGGTGTATCGGCCCCAGAGGCGGCCAAAGGTGCTGGCGGCGGTGTCGCACCAGCTGAGAAGCAGGACGGCCATGACGCCGACGTCCTTGGGGAAGAAGAACAGCACGAACCACGCGCCGAGAAGGTAAAAGATTACGCCGTTCCAGCCAGCGTATTCGCTCTCGCGCATTAGCGCACCGAGCAGTCGGACATAGAGCCTGTTGAAGGAGGCATATCGGTGTCGCAGCCAGTCAGTCGCCGCAATGGGAAGCAGTGCCGACATGAGATATGGCGGCACTGAGCTGGTCTGTGTGCCGCCAACATAGAGCCATAGGACGAAGAAACCGATCGAAACATGGAGGAATTTCCGCGGGACTTCGTGCTTGTGGATAAATGTCCGCCAATGTCTGTGAATTGGGATGAGGCCGAGAGGGCTTGGGCTTCGACTGAAGTCACGCCAATTCCAACCAACCGGGACTATTGGCTCGGGAGGGGCCAGGTGGCCATTGGTTTTGGAGGTCTTCCCGTTGGCGAGTGTGAGGTCGCCCACATCCTTGGATGTTGCTGTCCTACTCACTCTTCTTGTTGTCAATCGCTGAACGGTAGCGTTATCGATCGGCGAGCGGCTGCGTGTCCGGGACTGCCGGAGGCCGGGTTTCTCAACATCGTCGTCAATATCGTCTTCGGGCTCCTTCCGCGACGAGCGGTTTCTAGTCGCTGAACGTGTTACCGGGCCACGACGAGATGATGATTCTTGATCTCGGTCATCTGGGGTTGGACTGGGCGAGATGACCCGCGGACTGGCTGGCACCGTGGACTTGGGCATGGCGAACGAGAAGGGCGGCAGGGACGGGCAGTGGATAGCGCCGATAAAAATGCGTTGTAGCGACGCGAAGGCTGAAGGCCAAGAGCCGAAATACTGGTAGCACTGCTGCTGCGTTTCCAGCAGATAGTTATCACGGCGCGAAACACGCGCCGATGATGTGCTGGTGGTTCCGAAGAGCGAGAAAAGGCTCCAACTATGATGCGACGTCGGTGAAGGGTGTGATGCAGGGTCTTGAGGTTCTATCGGCGCCAGGTTGATACTTGGTGGTGATGCAGCGGAGGCGATTTCCCCCACTGCATGTCGCTCGGAGAGTATCTTGACAGAGAGGACTTGAAACAGAGGCCACCAGCATACGTGCTCTGTCGCCAGCTACGCCTTTGAGAACAGGGCTTTGGAAATTAGGGTTTCGACGGGGGTTAGGGACAAATTTGGGATACGTGGGCAAGTGACCTGTTTTCGGGTGGTGGATGATGTCCGGGATGACGGGATCCGCCTCGTTGGGCAAGCCAGATTTTCACCATGGATTAGTAGTCCACCCAGCCTAATGTGAGACCCTTAGGTAACGCCTCAGTGTCTTAGACTACAGTTTTTTGGGGCGTCGGAGCATGTGACAGCCCGAATCGCGGCATTGAGCAGGATTTCGCTCAATTTCCACGGTAATAAACCCGGAAGCATGTGAAAACCCGTTGGGACAGTTAAATTATCGTTGACCTTGCCCGAGGTTTCCGTGAGCTTCAACGGCAGATGTGTCCTGATTTTAAGTTACAGCGCATCTCAGACATGTTTCTTGCTCGTGTGCCTTGGCCACCCACGACGTAATACTACCCTAGAGGGCTTAGACCAGAACTGACTCGTGTGCTCTCGCCCCATATTTGCTTTCTTATCGATAATGACCCTGATAAGATAACGGAGCTGGATGAAGCGAAAAAAAAGTTGGGTGGATGTGACATGCGACTTGACGGCCCCTCGATAGAAGTACTCGAACGGTGTTATCTTTGCTTCTGCACCTCTTCATTGTAATGGCTCCCAATAAAAGTGCCCCTGGTGGGCGTAGTCCAAGGGCCTGGGATGCGCTCACTCCTCCTCTGGCCGAATGGATTCTCGATGCCGTGTCGACAATGGGATTCAAGCAGATGACACCCGTCCAAGCGGCAACCATTCCTCACTTCATGGGCAACAAAGATGTCGTTGTGGAGGTTTGACTAACACGCGCCACCATTCATCCAGACTTCACGTAACTAATTGTAATGTAGGCTGTCACTGGAAGCGGAAAGACCTTGTCGTTTCTTATTCCTGCTGTACAAAGAATCCTGCGCCTGGAGGAACCAACGACACGGCACCATGTCGCCGCCATCATTGTGTCCCCAACCCGAGAGCTCGCCGCTCAAATCCACTCTGTCCTCTTATCTTTGCTCGAATACCATCCCCCTTCTGCCGAATTGCTACCATATCTCAAGGAGGAGGAGGACAAACGGCCTACGACATCTGTCCCTGCCATTGTACCCCAGCTCCTCGTCGGCGGCACCACAACCGTGGCACAGGATCTCAGCTTCTTTCTGCGACACAGCCCCAATATCCTCATCTCCTCCCCGGGAAGATTGGTGGAATTGCTCTCATCGCCCTACGTTCATTGCCCACAGTCCAGTTTCCAGATGCTTGTGCTGGACGAGGCGGACCGACTGCTCGATCTGGGTTTCAAGCAGGACCTGCAAAAAATCATCTCCCACCTGCCCAAACAGCGACGCACCGGTCTATTTAGCGCAAGCGTGAGCGAAGCTGTCGGCGAGATTATCCGAGTTGGCTTGCGCAACCCAGTCAAGATCGAGGTCAGGGTCAAGATGAAGGACGGCGGAGTTCTCGAGGATAGAAAGACGCCAGCCAGTCTACAAATGGCCTATTTGGTGAAGCCGGCGAGTCAGAAGCTCCCCGCTCTTGCCCAGATTCTGGAGGGTCTGCCAATCCGGCCTCAGAGAACAATCGTCTTCCTGTCGACCTGCGCCGCCGTTGATTATTTCCAGCACGTCCTCCCCGAGCTCCTCCCCGAAGGGTTCGCACTCATCCCTCTCCACGGGAAGCACCAGCCCAAAGTACGAGAGAAGAATTTCAACCGCTTCCTCACCGCAGTATCTCCTACAGTGCTACTCACCACGGACCTGGCCGCTCGTGGTCTGGATATCCCCCAGGTCGACCTGGTCGTCCAGATCGACGCGCCGTCAGACCCAAAAGTCTTCATCCACCGGAGTGGCAGAGCAGGACGCGCAGGTCGCAAGGGCTTGGCCGTCGTCATGCTCCACCCCGGCCCCGAGGAGGACTACGTTCGGTTCCTCGAGATCCGCAAGACGCCAATCGCACTACTAGAAAAGCCAGAGGTCTCAACTACGCAGGAAGATGCAGACCAGGCCACGGAGAAGATCCGGAGCCTGCTGCGCGCCGATCGCGCGCTCCACGACAAGGCGCAGCGCGCGTTCGTCAGCTGGGTACGCAGCTACGGCGGTCACCAGGCCACGTCCATCTTCCGGACGAGCGCGCTCGACTGGGCGGACCTGGGCCAGGGGTGGGGTCTCCTCCGGATGCCCAAGATGCCGGAGCTCAAGGCGTGGCAGGGCGACAAGTTCCTCGGGGTCGAGGTGGACTGGGACAACTTCGCATACCTAGAGAAATCACGGGAGAAGGCCCGGCAGGAGGCCCTCGAGGCGGAGCGCTCGGGCGCGGCCAAGCTCGCCCGGGACGAGGAGGCCAGCAAGCGGAAGCGCAAGATGAAGGCGAACGAGGCGTGGAGCAACAAGCACGACCAGGAGGACGTGCGGGTGGAGCGGCGGGAGAAGCGGCGCAAGAGGCGCGAGGCCGAGAAGACGGCGGCGATGACGGACGACGAGAAGGTGAAACAGGCCGAGTTGGATGACATGATCCGCCAGGTCAGGATGCAGAACGCTGCCAAAACCGCCTCTAAAGACGACGAGTTTGAGGGCTTCGACGATTAGCTAGCTACCTGATCATGTACCAAATAATACTACAACTATAGAAATAACAAAGACTGATTGAAAAAACACCGATAAAATTGCACACAAGTGATTTCAAACAATCGCGGCAAGAACGAATGGCGTGACACGAACAGCTCGAGGAGCGGAATATCCCGAATCCTGCGTCGACGAGAATCGGGGAATACTGGCAGCAGTTGAGCGCGTTGAAAAAGTCCGGGTGGGACCGTCTTCTCGTTGGTTAGAATGTGCGAAACAGGGGTTTCAGTCGGCCATCGGCAAATAAATCGGTGGGACGCAGCGGCCGGGTCGGTTCCGGACAATCTCAACTTGACCGAGATCACCGCCCCATCAGCTTTTGCGGCCATGGAAGCAGAGATGAGACGGATATATAATGCGGCGATCTCAGCTCGGAGGGGGGATCTGATTCATACCATGTATTTTTAGTCCGACAATTCCAAGCAAGGTTCTCTCAGGCTTCCCCCTCGCATATAGCACACACACGAACAGTACTCGCTTCTAAGCCAACAATCATCTTCTGGCATCTTTAGCAAAGGAGTCTATTTATTACAAGGCATCCACTTCAATTTAGAAGGAAGAGATTTCACTCGTTGAAGATCGAAAAGCACGCCGTACCACCCACCACAGATCACCACAACAATGGCTTCGTCCCTATTACCTCGCCTCCGGCCGGCCACGGTCCTCACAACTGTCCTGGCGGGCGGCATCGCCACCGGCATCTACTCCAAATTCATCATGAGACAAGTACACGCAGACTCAGGGCCAAAACCCAGGAAGGTCCTCGGCGGCGGTCCAGCCTTCCTCTCCCTCCCCCTCGAGAGCTCCGAGATGGTGAGCGGCGACACGAAGCGCCTCCGCTTCAAGCTGCCCAAGGACGACGACGTGAGCGGCCTCCCTCTGACTTGTAAGTCCTCCAGCCTAATGCCAAGCTAAGCAACATCCAAGCAACGAAGCCGTTCTAATCGAGGAACTGTGCAACAGCCGCCGTCCTAACAGTATCGTGGCCCAAGGGCAGCTGGCGCCCCGTCCCTCGCCCCTACACGCCCGTCACCCCCTCCGACGCCCCCGGCCACCTCGACCTCGTCGTCAAGCAGTACCCCAACGGCAGGGCCAGCACCCACCTGCACTCCCTCAGCCCCGGCGACAGGCTCCTCTTCGCCCTCCCCATCGCCGGCCCCAAGTGGACGCCCAGCGCCGACGCGGGAACCCACGTCACCCTCATCGCCGGCGGCGCGGGTATCACGCCCGTCTTCCAGCTCGCGCAGGGCATCCTCCGCAACCCGGACGACAAGACGGCCATCACGCTCGTGTACGGCGCCAACACCGACCGGGACGTGCTCCTGAAGCGGGAGCTCGACGCCTTCGAGAGGGAGTTCCCGGGCCGCTTCAGGGCCGTCTACACCATCAGCCGACCGGGAGAGGGCAGCCCCTACAGGAAGGGCCGCGTGACCAAGGAGCTGCTGCAGGAGGTGGCGCCCGCGTCCGGGAGCTCCCACGTGTACCTGTGCGGACCGCCCGCCATGGAGGCAGCCCTCGCCGGGCAGTTCAAGTGGGGGTCGCCGCTGGGGATCCTGGCTGAGCTCGGGTACCGAAAGGATCAGATTCACCGGTTCTAGGGAGTTGGCGTCGATGTAGACAAGGGTGCGAGGTTGAAGGTCGGCAGCCATTCATTCTTTTTTCTTAAATTTCATTTGTACCGCAAACGACGAGATGTAAATGCCCCAGCTCCGCTTGTAATAGACCTATGTACATTGAACAATGAAGAAATTCCCTGTAATGATTATTTCGTTGCCGTATGTGTGCGTGTGCTTGATTATGAGTGCTTGGTTATGAGTGCTGGATCAGTCATGTTCCTCTTCCAGCACCTGGAGCGGCCACTTCATAGGCTCCTGCCAGTAGCTGCCGAGTCGCTTGTTGATATCCCGGATCAGGAAGACGCCCGTGTCGCCGAACATCCAATATTTCCTCGCCCGGTGCACCAAAACCCCGTAGTAGGCTAGAATGATGAGAGCCTCTGCCCTGTGCCTCCTCAGAACGTCGCCAAACTCGACAGATACCACTACACTGAAGCCAGTGACGGCGTGGGGTAAGTCAGGACGGGGCAGCCTCCCGCTGAGATCGAATGCCCACTGCAGAGTCTGTACCGCCCTCTGGCAGGCGTCGATGCTCTGGGAATCCAGATCCGAGGCATCGAGGAGCGCTCTCAAGGGCTCGCACTCTTTCCCGTGACAAGGCTCTTGGGGATATTGGAGGGTTGTGAGACTCAGTATTGGCAGCAGCTCCGACTGAAGAAGCATCTCCCACGTCGGGAGGACCACCGTACGAATCCCCTTGTGGAGATTGATGCAATCAATGAAGCGGTCTATGAACTCCTGGAAGTCTGAGCGGTTGTACGCCAAGGTCTCGGCCAATACGTGCAGACCAAGCAATGCGGCGAAGAGAAACCGCGGTGCGGCATACAGCATGTCGTCGGAAGAAGGACTCTCTGTGTCCTTGGTGAAGTAGGCCAGGGCTCTCGTCTGGAGCTCGGTCGCCTGGTGTCGGTACTTGGCTGCCGACTCTGGCTGCTGATGGGCCTTATGTATGGCCGCAAACGCGAGAAGCTGGTCAATGAGATAGGGACACTCCACGGTATGGCGTATGGAGATGTCGACGACGCGTGTTGTCTGGCCATCGCCCAGCACCTCGTTCTCCATGGACGTCTCGACGTGATGGAGGAGCATCAGATGCTGGGGAGTAAAGGCAGAGACGGGGATGGAGGGCGAGGCGGGCGTATTGGCAAAGGACTCGTTGAAGGACGGCAGAGACTGGGGCGGCCACTGCGCCGGTGGGCGCGTCTGCTGAGGGAGAGGAGGCTGAGGCCGCTTCTCTGGGACGGGCACTGGCGACGGCCCTGCTCTGGCTCTGGCTGGAGCGGGATAGGAGCATGCTCGCTCGGCCATGGAGCAGTTTCTACAGGCTGGGCGCGCTTCATCGCAGCGCATATGCCTCCTTTTGCATTCAGCGCATCCATTACGCGACTTTCGGTGGGATCGCCGCTGCTTCGTCGTGCTACTACCGCCCGACTTTGGTGTTGACTTGTCTCCCCCTCCGTCAGGCGTCCCCCCTCCAGAGTCTCGCTCTGCCATCTTGGAACGATCCCTCTACCCGATCTCTGCTGGAGATGTTGGAACAGAAACTGGTCCTTTTTTCTGAGTGTTAACTGTCTGGCCGAGGCCCGTTCCCCCCTGTCACATTGTCTTCGTTACCAGGGTGCAGTATTTTCCTGGTCCAGTGGAGCATCAAGCTGGCAGAGGAACAGAGCCGTGAAAGGGAGTACCGCAAGCCTAAGCAAGAGGAGCCCGGTATGGGGATAAATGCTCAGGATGACAGTTTTGGAGATGATTTGAGCAGGCGGGTGCGGTGCTGAAGCCGAGAGGCGATGCGAGGTAGATGGTATTATTGCCAAGGGAGGTCAAAGCCCGCTCACGTTTTCTCGATCTGACTGCCTTATTACTTATTACTTACTACTTACCACATCAGCGCTAGAACCCCAACCACAACTGGCAGCAGCAATAAGACAATAATACAACAACACTGTCCAAGGCTGACTTTTCTGTGTTTGGGTTTATCATTTCTCTTCTCTCTCTGTGTTCCCCCTAATCCCAAACAAGCAGATTGATTGGATTGCTGCAGCCATGCCCACGGTCAATTTAAGCTGTGCATGGGGATAATCGCTTGGCTCGCACTCGAGATTCGCTCTCCACCCGCCGTTACACAACGCAATGCACCAGTACCATCCCTGCAATCACACTCCATCACAGCAGCATCTTCATCTGACAGGAGGGAGTAAATTTGACATTGCAATGAAACCTGCTAAATTTGAATAGTTCTATCTAAACAGTGTCTGTGCCAACCACCACCTCTCTGTCTGTCAGTTTTCTATCTCCTTCAGCTCCGGGTGTATCGAAAGTAACCGCGAACCTCAAGTCTCGTCACCCCTTTTTCTTCGTCTTTTCTCCAATTGATAAATCCCAGCCTTAATTGCTGCTTCTTCCTTTCTGCTTTAATTTAATCCTTTTCTGATTGTCTAAGGCACTGTGCGACGTCTTGCCGAGCTCCAGGATGGGCTCGTCCGCACTCCCGCCCGGGTGTGGTCTTCGGTGTTACCGTTCCATGGCAACCAAGTAAATTGAAGACAGGTAGACGTAATGCTGCTCCTCGTCTCTGGCCTGGCTCTGGCTCTGGCCCTTCTGTTCATAGCCCGCTGTGTGGAGATCTCTTGAGGCCATGCAAGAAAATCTTCCTTTTAGCTGGGTATCACTACATTACAAGGAAATCGAAACCCTCGCATCTTCTTCTCAAACGCCGGCGTCGGACCTGAGCCTATAGTCCATAAAACTCCCACCCATCGCCGTTGATCTCTTCAGCTTCGTTATTTGTGTTCGGTCCATGTTCCCACTCCTGCTTGGGTGCGAACTCGTTTCGCAGTTCCTCCTTCAGTCACAGCTCTTCGTCATCCAGCTCTGACGGCTTCAGCAGTCCGCCGACCTTTTGTCGTCGCTCCATATCAGCCGCCTTCGTGTCCCGCTCGGCTTGTTCCTTCTCAACCGCGAATAGCTCCGCGTTATCGTCTGCAAACTCCTTCAGGGAGATGAGGAAGTCTCGCAGGTTCAGGCGGAACTTGTCATACTGAGTGTTGTGCGTAAACAGTCCCTCCACGAAGTTAGCGATTTGGGCCCTAGGTTCTCGTTAGCTAACTTGCGCGTTTTGAGTGTTGCATTCTTTTTTTTTTTTTTTTTGCAAGACTTACTGTTGGAGGTTGGGGAATGCATTTCGTAACAGATTCACGACAAAACTGCTCAAGAATTCACGGTTGCTTGTTCCACCAGGGGCTTGCTCCGCGTTGTAAATAGGCCCCTGGATCTTGGGGGCTGTGCCATCAGCAGGATGGACAAAGTAGAACAGCTTCATCAAAACCATCGACTGCGTCTTAAACCCGGCCTTGTGGTCTGGATCGGTGACGACGAAGAACACGTCTTGGAGAATGTTGACAAAGAATCGCTGGAAGAAAGCATTTGCTGTTGCAACATCAGTCTTCTCTGCGATGTTGTTGATGAGCTCCAGGCACATATTCAGTCCAGCGGCCTCGACATCACGGTTGTCGTGCTTGAAAGCCCAGGAGCAGGAGTCGATGACAAACTTGAACTGGTTGTTATCAAGTTTCAAAAGAGCTAATGACACGGCCGGTCAGTATTAGGTGCGTTCTTGGAATCAAGGAGATAGCTCGGACAATGACGTACCAGGGAAGCAGTAAAGATTAATGGCTCGAAGGAGGTTGAAAAACTCAACACGGTGTTCGGGGAATTCTGAGAAGTCTTTGTTGATCATCTCCAGTGTGCATTCGAACACATTTTGCATAATAATAGGGACCTGCTCCTCCATCAAGGGCTGCATAGCATGTTAGCATGTTTTCTGATAAAATAACTGGATTAGGGAACCTTACACCCAGCTTTGTGATGATAGTAGACATGGCCTTGAGAACTTCAGCGTCACGAGCTCCCGGCACATTGCGGTTGTAATCAACCAAGACTGATTCCAGTAAGGGAGGAACCATCTGGTTAGCAACGGCTTGCAAATCTTCAGCTTTGTCCACGTATGTTTCAATAAGCTTAAGGATTTCCTTCTTGATGGTTCGCAGTCCTCGGACCTTGGGCATCTTGGGGGCCAAGTCGCCATCCCTTGCCACAGCTTCAGAGATGAGGCCACTTGTGGCACGGTACATCTGCAGCATATCGTGATAAATGCGCCCGATTTGAGGGTAGAAGTAAGGACCGATCGATGAGCAAGCGGACACATTAGTCTTCATGATGTTGCCAATGACCTTGATCGTCTCAGAGTCTTGAAGGATTGAAGGATTCATAGTCGCCTGCTTGATAATCTCGTCCCATGCGGTGTTGGGGATGTTCATTAAATCGGCCAGCAACCTCTCCTGCTGATGTTGATTGCCTTGGGCTGCAACCATATAACCGCATGCCTCATAGAATGTATGGACTTGTTGAGGGGTGAGGTCACATGTAATCTTACCCATGTTCCTCACAATCTCTTCAATAAAGGGCTCTTGCTCGCTAGGCTGAAGCGCCACGAAATGGCGACGGCACTGGCGAGCGATCTTGATGAATGTATCGCAAGCCATGTCTTGGACACCTGTTTGTCTCGGTTAGCCATCCGTCGTTGCTATTTTCGTGCCTTGTCTGTTTGGGGGGTGTCATTACCTTCGTGAGATTCATGCATGAACTCGAACAACTTATTGACAACAGTCTTAAGGAATTTCCAGTGTGCCTTCAAGAAGCGGGGATACTGCCCCACGATGTACATAATGTTGCTTGCAACCACGGCTTTGTTGTCCTTGCCGCGCTTCATTTCGGTAAGACCCAGGAGATCCTTGATGACGGTCACCAAGAACCTCTTCTCAGTCTCTTCGTTCATGGAGAGGGAAATGGAACCAATGGCCCAGCAGAGGACGTTGCAGTTATGCCACGACCACTCTGAGCCATCCACCTGTCGTGCTAGCTTCTCCGTCATGATGTTCTCCGTGTCAACAACATCAAGATGCGTGAGGTAGACAAGACACTCTCGGATAGTTTTGTACAGCTGAACAGTGTCGCTTTCCTTGACAAATTCTCGAACAATCTCACCCTCATCGTTCTCCACAATCAGAACTTCCTCAGGGCGGACCATCTTCTCGATCATAACGACTCGTAGATTCGTGAGGATCTCGTTGTACTTGTGTTTTCGGAGCGGGTAATTCATTAAGGTGTTGGGATTCGGGGCTCCGCTGCCAGACATGTTGCCAGTAACACCCATCAATGGGTTTACGTCGGTCAATGGAAGAGACTGCATCTCCTCGTACAGCTCTTGGACCATCTTGAGCCAGTAATCGAGGGTGATCTTGAAAATTTCGCGGTCGTCGATTTGGGATATCCGGATCAAGTAGTAGTGGCCATGCATGAGGAAATCTCTATTTGGCAAGTTTTCGATAAGCTGCACCTTGGTCAGTTTCCCATATCATCGACAAAAGTCAAGTCAAGCTGGTGAGTTTCAAGAAGAAAAGGCTCAACTTACATGAAGGTGCATTCCAAAAAAGTTGCAGAGAAAGAGTGCTAGGTTCTGGATGAATTCTTGATCTTTCGAGTTACTGCTGGGATAGGTCGACTTTAGGTCGAGAGAGACTGGGATGATCTCCGCAATCGTTGTAAGAACCTCGGTGAACATTTTGACAAGCTGCTCCTCATATGAATTGGGTTGGCCAGGCCCGCCGGTCTGTAGACCTCCGATTTCTGTCAAGCACTGTAGGGTGATGTTCCTGAACTCGGGGACCGATAAGAAACGCGTACGCAAGGTATCGATCAGAGGTGTCTCGAAGATATAGCCGAGAGGGATCCAGTTGCAAAAGCGCAGTAGGGTCTCCAGAGTGGCGTTGACGAGACTAGGCTGGGTAGCAGTGTTGAGAACCTCCTGGCAGAGCTGGAAGATTTGCGAAAATTCAGCGCACATGGTCTGCTTGAGACTCCTCGTTTTGGCCGATGTCATTTGCTCAGCCGAGTAATCGAACACCTCCTCGGACAATAATCGCAAGATGATCATGTTGTTTTCGCAGATGGAAAGGTTGGAGTGGCAGGAAGAGATGATTTCGTTTATGAATGTCGGCCAGTTATGGGGCCATTCCTGCTTCAAGACGGAAATGAGAACAAGATTCAGCTTGTTCAGGAGAGTCTTGTTCGTCTTCAAAGACTCTTCGGTGCTCGAGGATTGAATGATGAACTGCACAATGAAGTTACGAATACCTGTGGGCCGCGGGGTTAGTAGTCGGTCTGGAAGGTGGGAGACAAGTTTCTGCAACGAACCTTGGCATTGGTCTCGCGGCAGAACCTTCCATCTCGTCAAGATGACATTGTCGAGAACCTGAAGACCCAAGTCTGTGACCATATTAGCTACCGTACTGAGCACGAAGGGCGGGGGAACCTTGTCGAAGCATACACTTTGTTTGGGGATACTGTGCGCTTGAGAGGATCTTGTCCACCATTAACCAGGCGTCAGGGTCCTCTTTGAACTATACCAAAAAGTCAGCAAAACCATCCTCGAGACATCTACGCTGCCATTCGTGTTATTCCGTCGTGACAACCGGTTCTATCCTGTTCGCCGTCTCGGTTGTTGTTCCTCCTCTTCACGCTTGGCGGCGTAGCTATTGGAAGTGGGGTTGCCCACCTGGTTCAGCGCATTCTGGGCGGCTTTTTGCTGTAGCAAAGAAATGTCAGTTTAGGCGGAAGCAAAGACAGCAGTAGAAGCCATACCTGTTCTCCCCTGCCTTCGTAAAAGGCCCGGACGGTCGTGTCGAGCTCTTCGATGGTGGGAGCCATGGCTCAAAACGGGGCGGGTGGTTATGACAACCAAAGTGGGGTGAAGGCACAGAGATTAGAATGACGATTGCTCGGTCGGCAGCAAGCTTCAGACGACGCAACGCACGTAAAGGCTTGACTCGAAGAAGCTGTGCGGCGCGTCGCAGGATGGGGAACTTCGTCGGGCGCGAGGGGAGGGGATGAAAGGGAGAAACGGAAATCTGGGCAGAGAGCAAAGGCTGGGCGAGGTCGAAAAGGCTGAGATCGGAAGAAGAGTTGGGGTGGAGGGAAGCAAATGCTTAAGCAGTGCAAGGTGCTATGGAGCGAATGGGCGCTGGGGCCGCGGTGCTGGTTTTGTCAGCTGGGGCTTAGGTCACTGTACTTGTGCTGAGCTTGGGGTGCGGCTGCCAGGCCGCTAGAGCCAACCGCTGTCAGCGGGAGTGCCTGTCGGTCCCAGGGGACACGACCCAAACGGGCGGCCATGACGCTGCTGTCTTAGTACCGGTACTTGTGATGCGGCACGTCTGAGCTGGGCCAGCTGCCAGCCTCCCCGTCTGGATCCAACCCCACCTTGACCGAAGAATGTGGTGTTACCTTGCAATCATCTCTACGAAACCCGACGCGCTTATTTCCGCGGGCGGCTATTGCCAGCCTGAGCCATTCAATGGCAATTAGTTTATGAATATCTACATGTTGTGGCGGGGGTTGCGCCGGCTTGAGAGAGGAGGACCACAAGCTTCGGCTCTTGTAGCTAGATAGATAGTAGGTCTGAGAACCCGAGGCTAGCAACTATTGTCACTCTCCCTCTGCCTACACAGACCACGCGGTGCTTGGGAGGGGGCAAAGGGCACAAGTCACCATATTCAAAGGTTGGGCCGTAGTGTAACCATGAAAAGGCCTTCTTTGTGAGGTACCTATTTGGGGAGTTCAGATAGTGTCTATTTCATATCCTGGTTCTAGCTATCTAGTGTTATATGCTCTCCTTTTTGTTTTTGGACATTTTTTCTTTATCTAGTAACTATGCCTTCTGATACCCACACTCTGACAGGCCCGATCGCAGCGCATCGAGCGCCAGGTCGATGTCCTTGCGGTTCGGGTCCAGGGCGCTGACACCCATGTGCCCAAAGCGGATGTACTTGGTAGCAATAGCCTTATGAATGCCACCAGCAAAGATGACGCCCTTGGTGGACAGCTTCGGCAGAATATCGGGGATCGTCACATTCTCGGGCAGGTAAATAGCCGTCATGGCGTGTGCCTGGTCCTCGGGCTTGGTAGCCACAACCTCGAGGCCGAGATCCTTGACAGCCTTCTTGACACGATCCGAAACCTCGGCATGTTTTTGGAAACGCTCGGCCAGTGGCCTAGTCAGGATCTGTGACAGTGCGGTGTTGAGGGCGTGGATGAGCTGGGGCGAGGGCGTGGCGAAGTAGGATGGCTTCTTAGCCTCGTAGTTCCTCATGACTGCACGTAATAACGTTAGTCTGCAAAGCACAGTATAAATAGAGTAAAGGTATCCAGAACTTACTTGGTGCCCAGTTCTTGAAAGAAGCAAAGTAAGAGGCAGGAGGGGTTTTGCGGCTGTTGAAGGCCTCGATGGCCTTTGCGCTGAAGAAGGAGATGGACAGACCGGCGGGGCAGCCGATAGCCTTTTGGCTGGCTGTGACAACACCATCCAGGCCCCAGGAGTCGAATGCGATCTCCTCGCAAGCTACACTGCACACTCCATCGACAATGACCAGGGTCTCGGGGGAGACTCGCTTGACGGTTGCAGTGAGGTTCTTAAGCTCACTGAGAACGCCGGTGGAGGTGTCGACGTGGGTAACAGTCAGGATCTTGTACTTCTTCTTTGAAAGAGCGGCCTCAACCTCTTCTAATGAGGGGCGCCCTCCGACAGGACCATCGATCTTGGTAACGTCTGCGCCGTATGTTCGAAGGCAGTCGGCGAACCCATCGCCGAAGTAGCCCGTGCTCAGGACAAGAGCGCTCTCGCCAGCCTCGACAAGGTTGGCGGCAACGAGATCCCAGCCCAAGGTGCCTGAGCCGGAGATGATAAAGGGTTGAGCGGCAGGGTCGGTGGATTGGAACAGCTGACGCAGCTGAGTCAATGTCTCTCCGAAGGTCGCGACAAAGCCTGGGCCGACGTGGCTCTCACTAATCCACGAGCAAGGTCAGTGAAACATACTCACGGTGGGGGGGGCCAATGGCAGTGTGTTGATATGGCTGCAGCGGTGCCTGCGCCAGACTCGGCTACTATCCGACGTACCTGTAGTGGCTCATGGACTGGAGAACAGCGTCATCGAACTCAATTGGCCCGGGAATGAGCAGGGCCGGGTGAGGAGGTTGGGAAGACATTGTGGACGGTGTCGATTGACCTTTGAGGGAGGTTGCAGAAGAACTCAGGTGCCGGGCGACTTGGGAAATCCTGTTGCTGCCGACTGAAGATGAAGAGGATGGAGAGTTGGTGATGGAGGGGTCGTTGGAAGATGGATGGCGGGGCATTGCCTTTAAGGATGCCGATCTGGAGAGACGGAGTGCCGTCGCACCAGCGGACCAAGATCCGAGCGAATGGGGGGAGAGGCGCTGTGCAGCGCGATCAACAACTACCCTCCGCCCGGCTGTACCGAGGACGAAGCAATGCATGTGCGCTGCGTGGCTGCTGGAACGCGAAGGGGCGGGAGGTCTACCGTTCTTGTGGAAGCCCGAGTGGATATCAAGCAATTCGCTTGCTGTTTTTTCACCGACAATCACCAGGCCCCTATTAATAATAACCTGCGATGGAGAAGGAATAGGCAAGTCGACCCGGCCGGTTTCTGCTCCAGAAAATCGCAAAACTTCCGTGCCCAGAGTGCTCTGCTGCTGGGCACGGCTGGACTGAGTCGCTTGGCCCCTGGGCGAGTGGGCCTGCGTCAACGATATCGGAGACAGACCCCAAACGTCCAGGCCGGGGTCTTGTCATTCGCATTGCATCTTTTGGCGGGGGTTCACGAGTCCCGTTTCTACAGTCTTTTACTTCATAGCACGCTCTATACTGACCTCAAAGCCAAGGCCGTGATCATATACCAGCATTGGCCCATTTAAGCGTTACATGCGTGTCCCATGTGGATAAACAAGCATGCATGGAAACATTGTCTCGCTCGGCTCTGTACCGAGATCAACACCATGGCCAGCTCTGGTCACAGCTGCCGAGCCTCCGGTACGGCTCCGCTTGCTTCGGTATGAGATCCGCCGTGGTATTATATTGACCTTGAGGTGGTATCTAGCGTCTAATATGCCGTGTATTTGTCTACATCAAGCATGCAACTTTGCGACTGCTACACAGAGCCGACGAGCCAACCTTAATTCGGTTGGATTCCCCAGCCCACATCCAGGCTTCCACAAGCCATTCGTACCACACTTTTGTATCGTCTGTCTGTCTCCACATGCTAACTTCAAGTTCCGAATCGGCTGGGAAATAAAGAGGTTGCTAGAAGCCCTTGTGTTAGTTTATGCATCCTTGTCTTCTATTCAAGGCTCGGGAACGGGGCCGATTGTCCTTCTTACCTTCAGTGGGAAGAAAATAGGGAACCATGAAATCATGTCCTTGCTCTTGTCGTCGATTCGCTCAGGGTGTGTACTAATCTCAACCTTCTGTCCCTTGGAAGACTCCAGTTGAGATTCATACAGGGTGGACTCGAAGTAACCTGCCAGCCCATGCACTACACCACGGGTGCGGCAGACAAAGGTGAGGTGGGAGAATCGCGAGTTGTGGTCGTTGGCCCCCGCTGCGCCAGCCATGCTGCCACCACCTCCGCCAACGACACCACCAGATCGTCTTGCCTCAATCCCCCTCAATGTTGACTCCGGGATAGGGTGTACGAATTCCCACGCTTGTTGAATTTGCTCGTGTCCCGGGACTCTCTGGGAGACAAAATCTATGGCAAAAAGTCGGACAACCCATGGAGTATCGAATGCCGTAGACTCGGTGGGGTATCGAGACAAGATGTCGGCATAAAGTTTGGGTGTCGCGATTGGGCTCAGGTGAGCAGTGTATGAGCTAGGGATAGAAATACCGTGAGGCTTGGCCATCACATGCTGGATTCCATCCAGACATTCGGGAGACAGCTCGTTGTCGGCAAAGGAACCCAGAAGCTCTGAAATAAGAATGTCGACCTTTCCATAGACTGGCCCGGTCTCAGGAGACTCTGAGACGATAGGGCCTTTCCAAGCTCGCATGTCCGTCTTGACAACTTTCACTCGCCCGCCCCAGATGGCCTCGTTTTGGCGTAGAAGGTAGACATAGGCATTTGGGTTCTTCTCCACGGCCCAGACCTCCACGGGAACCCCCGTAAACTCAGCAGCTGTCAGGGCGCGGGTTACCAGCGGCCCTCGGCCGGAACCAGCCACAGCGATAACCACTACTCCTTCCTTGGATGTGGGCTTTCCAAGTTCCTTCCATTCTGACAAAGCTTCGATACACGCGGCTTCGTATTGGTTGTATTTGACAGGGTCACCCTCAAAAACCTCATAAGTTGCGGACTCCAGATTGTCGGCTAGGGGCTGCAATGGAGACTGTAGCCAGTCTTGGAAGCTAGTCAATGTGTTTGACTCAAGCGCCGGGAGTGGGGTTTGCTGCATTTCAAGCCATCGTACATATGACAGGTAATCATTCGTAGACGGAGAACGTTTGACAACCTTGTCACCAGCCTCAGCGAGGCTGGGGAACTGGTCATGGGACTTGGTATTTGGCTGTTCAGACGTTCCTTGACCATCTGACTTGGCCCCGAATCCATCAGAGCCCAGGTCAGAAAGGAGCAGCCATGGCGTATTCTTGAGTCTCATGTAAGTGAAAATCATGTTTTGGTGATGCTTAGACAAGCTTGGATACCCAGGTTTGTTGAATTGGAACGCCTCAGGTCCGATGGTCAGATAGTGCAAAGGTTCAGCGAACCAGCGGTTTTGAAGAGCCATCTCAGGCATGACCTTGGGAATACGTAGTGCTATATCATATGTTAAACCTCAAAAGATTAAAGGGGGATGTGAGAAATCTCCATACCCACAAAGAGCCGCATGTCATAATCGCAAACACTGCGAATTTGGTTCCAGGAATCCCAGGCGGTATAGAGATCAATCTCCTTGCCCGCTTCCTGAGGCGGGGTTGCTCCCAGAACCGACGATAAGGTGCGGGGTTCTAAGCTCACGAGTGGTTCGCGATACATGGGCATGTGAACCAAGAAGGTGAGGCGGCTGCCAATAGTCAGAGCTTCCTGAACAGCCCGAGAGTACTGCGCTAGGCCTTGTATACCACCATCCTTTGACGCATCTCTTGTCGGGCCCGGAAGAATCAAGCTTCGAATTCCACAAAAGTTGGCGTAGTTGATCTCAAGATTCAAAACCTGCCGAGAGATGCTGGATATGACCCGGTTCGGTGAGCACGGGTCGATCCAGGGGCTGACGCAGCCTGTATAAGTGTTGACCGCAGCACTGGGAAAGACGCTTGTATCCTTGGGTGTGAGGGGAGGTAGAATAGGGTCTGCCCCTGGAGTTGTGAAATTGCTTGACCCATCATCTCCGGAGTCCTTGAGGGTATCGAGATGGTCTTGAACAAGGCGGAACACTCTCTCACGGAAATGGTCATTGGTCAGAGGAGTCGTCACAAAGTTGAACTAAGGCAGGAAGTAAGCCGTGTTAGTCAAGCCAATCGTCAATAGCTAACCTCTCTTAATGCGAACTTACACCCTGATTGAGCAGGTTGCCGTACTGGATATCGGTGGGGGGTGCATTTCTCTCCGAATTGTGGTAGCCGATATGAAAATTAGGCCGGTGAGGGGCAAATTCTCCAGGAATAAAGACATCCGACTCTCCAGGCGCCATTTCTTTTGATGTTCCGTGCTCTTTTAGTTCTGCTTTCTCATAAACCTGAAAGTGGTTTCCACCAGAATCTGCAATTCGCCGTACGTTATGAATATTCAATACCCTGTCACGGATCTCATATTCTAGGTAGGTAGCAAATACGAGAAGAAAGGTCGCGAATGAAAGTGACGAAGACTAGAAAGCACAAACCCCAAAGGAAAGCGAGGAATGGTCCAATTTCAAATCCCCTTCAGTGCGGGAGCGCGACGGCCAGGGCTGGAATCAGTGGAACAGCTCAACCTAGTATGTATCAATGTAGGTATTTTGGTGTTGTTGCTCTCATATTTTCTCCTCTAGAGAGTGTGAAAGTGCTCAACAGCAGAGCCGCACAGTGCTGATCAAGAGCTAGTGATGATCAGGCGTCAAAAGACGCAGGTTCACTTTGTAATACCCTATGCATACTGGGGCAGACTTGTGCCAAGTTACAAAGCCTCAAGACTTGAAAGAGTGAAATGAATATCACTTTCAAGGCAATACTTGATAACGAATATCTCATTGCTCCAGGCCCTAGTGCCAAGTTCTCAACTCGCACTGTGACCCTCCCGCCTGTGCTTATCGATAAGCCGTCGCAAGTCTGTCCTTGGCCAAAATTTTCTGGAAAGTCAACAATCCCGCCTTCCCGCCTAATCATCACTACCAACCCAGCAATTCTCGCCTCGTGTTGTCGCAATTCGGATTGTTCAGCGAGGTAACCATGTCAGACATGGCAGGAAAACGCGCAAGCGCCGAATCTGACGAACCATCAAGGAAGAAAGCCAAGAAGGGGGACAGCGACGGTGATGTATACAACCCATATCTCGCCCACATGGACCCTTCCTCAAACTCGCCTTTCTCTGGCATGACACGGAGACAAGTCACCGCCGAGCAAATCTCCAAGGTAGAGGATCTGAGCACAAACGCATTCACTGGCGTTGAGCACACGCAGAAATACTTTCAAATTCTCCGGACACGAAGAGATCTGCCCGTACACAAACAAAGGTATGTTGGTCAGCCTCATCAGCCTTAATACCTTGCCTGTCTCGTTTTTGCGATTTTTCTGACTGGTTTCGCAGACAGGAGTTCCTTGAAAAGTACCATTCGACTCAGATCCTCGTCTTCGTTGGTGAGACTGGTTCCGGAAAAACGACCCAGATTCCCCAATATGTCGTCTACGATGAACTGCCGAATATCACCGGCAAACTCATCGCGTGTACCCAGCCCCGTCGAGTGGCTGCCATGTCAGTGGCGCAACGTGTCGCAGACGAGATGGATGTGAAGCTTGGCGAGGAAGTGGGTTACAGCATTCGTTTCGAGGATAAGACTGGTCCCAAGACGATGCTCAAATACATGACAGACGGTATGCTTCTGCGCGAAGCCATGCACGATCATGACATGTCGCGCTACAGCTGCATCATTCTCGATGAGGCTCACGAGAGAACTCTTGCCACCGATATCCTCATGGCATTGTTAAAGCAAATTGCCAGTCGCCGATCCGACCTCAAAATCATCATCATGTCCGCTACCCTCGACGCACAAAAGTTTCAGAGATACTTCAACGATGCGCCTCTCCTTGCGGTCCCCGGACGAACCCACCCGGTTGAGATCTTCTACACTCCTGAACCGGAACGAGACTACGTGGAGGCTGCCATCCGTACCGTCCTTCAGATCCATGCCTCAGAACCCGATGGCGATATCCTGTTGTTCCTTACTGGAGAGGACGAAATTGAAGACGCTTGCAGAAAGATCAGTCTTGAGGCCGAAGAGCTGATGCGTGAGGTTGACGCTGGTCCGCTTGCCGTATACCCTCTGTATGGCAGTCTCCCCCCTCAACAGCAACAGCGCATTTTCGACAAGGCCCCTGCTGCTCTGAGGAAGGGCGGACGAGCGGGTAGGAAATGCATCATCTCTACAAACATTGCCGAGACTAGTTTGACCATTGATGGTATTGTCTATGTGGTGGATCCTGGTTTCAGCAAGCAAAAGATCTACAATCCCCGTATCCGTGTCGAATCGCTGTTGGTATCACCCATCTCCAAGGCTTCGGCCCAGCAGAGAGCCGGTCGTGCCGGTCGTACAAAACCTGGAAAGTGCTTCAGACTATACACCGAGAAAGCCTTCAAGAAAGAACTTATCGAGCAGACCTACCCAGAGATTCTCCGGTCCAACCTGGCCAATACCGTGCTTGAGCTCAAGAAACTGGGCGTGGAGGACCTCGTCCATTTTGATCTCATGGACCCCCCAGCGCCCGAGACCATGATGCGAGCACTTGAGGAACTCAACTATCTCGCCTGTCTGGACGATGACGGCGAGCTGACCACCCTCGGCGGGTTGGCCTCGGAGTTCCCGTTAGATCCCGCTCTGGCCGTCATGCTGATTTCGTCTCCTGAGTTCTATTGCTCCAATGAGATCCTATCAATCACCTCGCTCCTCTCGGTCCCACAGATCTGGGTGCGGCCCGCCAACAACCGAAAGAGGGCAGATGAGATGAAGGCCCATTTCAGCCACCCGGACGGCGATCACTTAACCCTTCTCAACGCGTACCATGCATTCAGAGGTCAAGGTTCGGATCCAAACGCGCTCAAGCAGTGGTGCCACGAACACTTCTTGTCCTTCCGGCACCTATCGAGCGCAGATAACGTTCGTGCCCAACTAAAGCGGATCATGGAGACGCATAGTTTGGAACTTGTGTCAACCCCGTTCGAGGACAAGAACTACTACACCAACATCCGGCGGGCCCTGCTGGCCGGCTTCTTCATGCAAGTCGGCATGAAGGAATCCTCCGGCAAGGTCTACCGCACCGTCAAGGATCACCAAGCAGTCCTAATCCACCCTTCCACGGTCCTCCGCGCCGAGTTTGATTGGGTTCTGTACAACGAATTTGTCTTGACCTCGAAACAATACATCAGAACCTGCACCGGCATCCGACCTGAGTGGCTACTGGTGAGTGCACAGACCCCACTCCCCGATCTCACTTTGCTTTTTCTTTGCTTTTTTCACTTCTGTTTTTTTGCATCTCCGCCATATTCCCGTTTATCTCAGCCCTGAACTTTCTTTTTCGTTGTTTCCTCGTCTTACCCTTTTCCATATTTCTACACGCCGACCCTGGGTTTTCTCTGTTCCCCACTCCACACCACGCAGACCAGTGTCGATGCTAACTTATCAAATATAGGAAATTGCTCCGACGTACTATGACCTAGAAAGTTTCGAGGATGGTGAAGTGAAGCGATCCCTACAGCGGGCGGCAGAGAAGAAGCGGAGAAAGGAAGCCATGAAGGCCGGCAGGTGATCCCAGCCACTCGCAAATACCCATATTTTTCAGCACAACTCCCACAGAACTATAGAACAATTGGCGAAAGAGGAAAGAGATATAGATGAGTTAGACAAGCTTCAGCAGGAAGAAGACAAAAGCGGGTGTGGGGAGGAACCTGAATTGGGAGGGGCGTGTGTGTCGATAACAATCTGGGTCTACTACTATAACTACACGATACCACGGGTAGGTCGTATGCCAGGACCACCACAGACCCCATTGCAGGGCGCGCCTTTTCCCCTTTTTGTTCCCTTCTTCTTCTTTCGTCTCGGCCTACTTCGGTAGCGCTGATCCATTCAGCAAGAGACTGGGAGGGGAGTCCCTGGCTTGCTTCGGTTCCGCTCAGGTCCCGCAGCCCTGTTCAGATTATGTACCTAATAGCTTTTGATACATACTTGCTTTTTAAATACCAGAGAGAGGACGAGCGGTCCACAGCTTGTCACTGCCATGTCCATGTTGCCACACCAACTGCAGGCCAACTTGATCAAGGCCCCATTGTTCCTCACGTGTCCGTAGCGTGCTACATATATAAAGCGTGCGGCCCTCGGAGCCGCACGTATCGTCTCATCCTCGAGAGGACGGTGCATCCAGCTACTGCGTCATGCGCGGTGTGGGGTAAATCGCCGAGCGAAGAACTGCCCTCAACGTACTAGCTGCGGGAGAAAGGAATGGTAGGCGACCGAGAGTCAGAAAGGGGAAAGAAGAAAAGAAAGGGGGAGAGAGTGTGTGTGTGGATACGACAGCGCGGTGTCGAGGCCCAGGCTCCGGGCCGGTGGTGCTTGGGAGTAAGTCGGCGAAAGAGAGAGAGACGTGAAGCTGTGTGGGGGCAGCGGGCATATTCCTACTTAGACCAACAGCCAGCCGTTAAGTCGTGGCAAAATACTAGCACCCTTGAGCTTTACCGGTCTATGTTGTATGTGTATTCCAGGGCCGCTAAACTGACTTGTCGTTTTCTCGGAAGCTGTCATGTATGTACATACAGGGCTACTATGACGAAACACCACATGTCACAAATCATCTCGAGTCGTGCACCTGCAGCCGGTTTGGACGCTCCTCCACCGGAAAAGGGAGACTGGTGGGAGTTGTAGTTTAAACACGCACGCGTACTGGCTTCCCGCGGCCCTGCCCTCCTTAGATCCCCTTATCAAGTCTTAAAATAACTATACTTGCGTTCCAGGTAGCGGGAGCCAAATTACAAGTATCTGAAACCCGCACGCAAGCTGACGCAAGCCCCGGCCAGTTGGGATGAGGGCAAAAAGGCCTTGTCTCAGATGTAGGGACGATACAGACTCTCAGGACCCCTCTGCAAGTATAAAAGCAGCTGGTCGGCCCTAGAACGATAAAGTGGGCGGTTCAGGGTGGGCTTTGCAACCCAAAACCGCAACCGGATTCAGACCTAAACGAAAGCAGTCGTGCATAAGGGGAGTTGCTTTCCGTGGGGGCTACAGGGTTGCCAACATGATGATTGGCCATATAGACTGACGATAGTCGAGGAGATGCATGGAGAATGGATGGGGAATGGATCAGAGCTGAATTGACATCGGGTTCGGAGAATAGCAACTATAGTCTGCAGCTCTTCAGCTGGCATGCAAGGATACGAATTAAGTTGCCAGACCTGACATATTCGGTCACCTGTAGGTTTGGTAGTGAAGAGCTTAGTAGAGCGAAAACCAAGCCGTTGAGGCGCTCTTGAACACTCCTAAGCCGAAGAACAGCACGATCCAATGCCACGCTGTATTCGGTGAGTTCCAATGCTGTGGTATCCCAGGAGGCCACTGGGTAGGTGGTATATCTATTTCCGCAAGTTGATACTGCCCCGCCCCCCACACTTACACGAATGAGCAGGTGGATGCGACCGTGTCTCGACATGCATCGTTGCACTGTCTGATGAAGGACTCTAAGCAGGATGGATTGGCGTCTATGTTACAAGATGCGGCCGCGTCTACACCTTCCAACGCTACATGTACCTAGGATCAGCACCCTGAATACGTGCAGATATCATGCACATTCCTTGGGTTAGGTGGCATGGGGGAGGGTATGCATGCAAGACGGCTGAATAATGCTCTCATCGCCGCCAGCTACCAACCTTGCGTACATTTTCATACATGGCTCGAGGTGGCACCATCCAGACAAAGCGGGTAAAATAGGAGAGATCTCGTCACAACCCTAGCGAGGCCCCTCCTCCGTCTGATCTTGGCTGGATGTGATGGGATTAAGAGTGCTGCAGGCACGCTTTCGTCACCACTACCAACATGCAGCTGCCCCATCGTCGGGTCGATGCCAAGGTACCGTTGGGTGTTGTTGGTTGTCGATGGTGAGGAAGGGAGTCTGGCAGCCGGTGTCTCTGAGCGACGTACCCATAAGTAGCTACGGGTAGATCACCCGAACCTTGGGTAGGTAGTCTCGGGATGACTGCTGGGCAATAACTGCTAGTAAATAGTCAGCAGCCGATATAAGGGAGGCATAGATAAAGCCCTCCAGCAGAGCTTCCATCAGTTGGGGCCAGGCCTCCGCCGTCACCGGGAGCCATTGTTTGAGCAGGCAGGTCACCGTCGTCTGTGCCCGCCCGCCCGCTCACCCATGCAAGCTACTTCTGCAGGTCTAGGCATTTTCGTGAGCGATCCGAGCCTAGGCACATGTATGTTTGTCTCACACACATCAAAGTCGCAGTCCTGCCACGAGCGCTATCGCCGTACCCCAAGTGCCGCCGGCAGGCCAGGGAGGTGGCAAGCCCCTTCTGCCAAATCCTGATGAACAGGCTTCAGGGTACGGGACGCGAACTTGGGTCTTCCTTGTCGCGCGGCTTCTGCGATGATCCCGACACGTCCATGGCGGCGGCCACGCAAGCAATTGACTGACGAACCATCCCATCATGATTCCATTGCGTTTCTAGGGCTGATGGCTGAGAAAACTGCCCGTGCTTCACATCCTGGGTGTCCCACAGGGATTCGAGCATGTCAAGACAACACACCCCACCCCTAAACCTCTGACCCACCGGCCTTGAATCCCAAGGCGCATTTGGGACACCAGACTGTTTTTAGCGAACGTCGTTTTGGAGAATTCGGCCTGTCCATGGCGGTCCAGGGAGCGCGCAGGGTATTTCCGCGCCGATTGCCATTTTGGCGTGTGCCAAATGGAGGGACGTAGCTCCCGCGTTGCTTTTTTTGCCCTCCACAAAGATACTCCAATGGAAGGATCAAGGTTTAATGACCTTGTTTTGCTTTCGACTTCTTATAAGAATCATGGCACCGCCAATGGACTCGAGATCATGCTCACCACTCTTCCCACATCTTCCTCCTCGGCCTGCCAGTTCCCATATTGCAGCAGTCTCGAGCAAGTTCCTTTCAATTACCAACTCTCTTTGAGGACAGCCAGCCACGACCGACCTAATCTCCTACCTTTGACCACATTCACACCGGCACAATGAGCGGCAGTGGCGGTTTCTACAAGTACCGGTGCAAATACTTCTATTCCCATAACTGCACCAATTGGGTTTGGGTAAATAATGCGCCATGTGCCTCGTGTCTCGTGAGTCCGCATTTGCCAGCTTAGACAAGGAAGCAGGTACTAACTCTCCAACAGGCCGAAGGAAGGGATGAGGAGCACAAGCAGTCATCATCATGGCCACTCTCCAGAGATATTGTGGCACCCCGTGTCCGTGATGGAATCTTACAGTATATGCTGATGGAGCTGGTGGCCCCGACAGAACCAGGTCACAGCTGGACTCTGCAGGACAAGGCTCAACCAGCACCTCCGGCGGTGCCTGTGACCACCTCTGTGTCAGAGCCTGTTGGGAGGGCGGTAGGCAGGTTCGAAATCTCAAAGACGGCTATAGACTCTTTTTGAGAGGGGAGAAGGGCTGTCGAGATCGGCCATTTCATCATGTTTCTCATTCTGACCCAATCACCACCCACCCCAAGGGACACAAGCAAGGGCCCTGGCGGTTCGGCTCCCCATGTTAGTTATACCTCGCAAGAATCTAGGCGTTAGAAAAGGAAAAGTTAAAGGGCTGTGCTTTCGAAATTGCCTTAGATGTTAGCAATGCTCAAAATCAATTGGTACATACACTGCTGCTCTCTCCGTTCCTCCTCATGCTTCTCACCCCTCAAGTGCCTTTCTTGCTGACTCCCTTCTTCGTTGGAGCCCACGAGCTAGTCGCTCTCCGAAACCCGAGGATGGCTAAACAGCCGCTGCCAGCAAGGATGTGTAATAACGGCACGAATGGAAAGGGTAGCGCACAAAACGACATCGTGTGTGAGAGGACTGGCGGCGGATCGTTCCGCGGCACGGGAGAACATTCGCCAGAAGGTTTGAGAGGATGGCTGATTGTGTGGCCCCGGGTTCCAAGTTGCCCATCCGCGTTGGAAATTCCGGGGTCCCTGCAAGGTCCACTTGCACGAAACTCAGCAAATAGGCAGTATCATACCCTTGCCTGTCCAGAAATGGCGTGGAGTGGATCATCGTCCTGCCCGAATCACCCACTGCGTGCCTGACACCCCTCTGTGGAGTTGCTCTAGACTACCGGCACCCGAACGTTGAGGATCACTCCACGCCAAACGTTTTGCTATTATGGAGTCGTCCAAGAGAAAGCAGACAAGCGACTGGCGGCGAATCAAGCCCGTTTGCGCGCGCTTTGGAGCCAAGGCTAGCCCACAAAGTCAATAGAGGTACTCGTAACAGCCAATCATGCCCCAATCGCCGTACTACATGGTGGGGAGGCAAGGTAGCTAAAGGCCCGGAGCACTGGTTGCCCTCGCTGGAGGTGAGATGTCACCACTCACTGCAGTGGAAATTGTTTCCATGCTAAGACGAAACACAACTGCTTGTCCGACGGCGATAGACTGGAGGTAGGTAGGGGAAAATGTATGAAAACAGAGCGAATGGAATGTAGGTACCCGTGAACCCCTGCCCGAAGCCACGTTTTGTGGTAGCATGTCATCTAATTCTGACCTCATCAGGAACCGGACCAGACCTTGGGTTACTGGGCCTGGTACCATCATGTCGCAGAACTTTTGACAGACCTGGCGCAATCGGCAAACGGACAAGATTGACGTTGATGGCGTACGGCCAACCCTTGGGCCATGGCCTGGAGGGATAAATTTTCGGGGCTACTCAAAGCCCATTATTAATTGCATGCATCCATCAACGATGGTCCAGGCAGATGGACCGACCATCCATGCCTGTCAGCAAATGTCCGCCCGGATGTAATATGCAGGTGCGTGCATGCTTGCCAGCTCGCTCCTCCCCAGCATGGATAATTCCGATTAGGTTGGCAGGCGCTCCTTCTCGCTTTGGACAGACGAGAGCCAGCATAAGGTAGGAGGTACCCAGGAGCTTTGCCTCGGCTTGGCTAGGCCGGTGACACTCTGCCTCGCGCAAGCTGCAATGCCTAACGCCTCTTTTCGTCGCGTATCGCCAGCCCAATGATCCGGCTGTGTGGCATGTCACTCCCTCATCTTTCCCCAGGCCAAGCCTTGCCCATATTGTGACGCGCCAACAGGTCCGGACAGCCACACAACCTCCCTCCCTACCTCTAGCCAGGCACTACCTGCTAACTTAGGTAGCTGTTACAGAACCGTGGCAGTGTCGCCGGCCGATTACGTGGTGCGGATGGTGTAAGTCAATGCTGCCGCCATGACGCCCTCAGGCCCCTACGTCTCCTTTGACTCAATCCCCTGTCAACCGGCGCTTCTGTTTGGCTTCCACAGCTCCCTTGGCCCGGCTGCGGGCACACATAGGCACCTATGCGAAATGCTGGCATCGCTGCGACCTTGCTAACGGCATGATCCCGACAGCTCAGCCCCACCTCCCCACCCTCAGCGGCCTGCAACCCAGGCAAGTGTTGTGTACACACTCAGTCCGGCGGCCTCGGGCTGCTCGTCTGGGAAAATGCGCACATTCATATATATCTCCATGCATACAGTCTGAACTTATGCACAAAGCCTCACGGCCAATTGCCTCGCTAGTGTTGTACGAGAGCCGGCAGCTGCACTTCGCATTCGACAACGGTAGGGCTTTGCATAAGCACCACCCACGCCAATGAGGTATGTCGAGGGAGCATTGTACATAATCTTCAGCCAATGTACATCAATTTGACGCACTGCCCACGCACATGTCCTGCCTCGCGTTGTCCGACTTTGTGCAGGGAAATCGACGAGAACTGCAGTCTTTCCGAGGATCATGCTGGCGAGATTGTACATGTCACCATGCACTGAGGCCTCGCATAGCGGAGCTATGGCACCAACATCTCGGCCATACATCAATCAAACACCGAGAAAACATACGAAGACAACATCCTATTAAACGACATTGCGCCATGGATGGATAGCCTTGGTAAGGTACCTGTCAGAGGCCAACATGCCTTAGTTCCCGTGTCTCTGCGCACCATACCATAAGGATCTGTCCAGGAAGATGCCCCCATTCGCAACAACACTTGGCGCCCGGTACAAGTGACACCAACACAATATTTCCATGCAATTTCTTCCACGATCGGATTATTCGATGTGTGCCTGAACTACTGTTCTGTCTCTCGGACAAGGCAAGCTACGTCTGGTTGACTTCTAGAAGGATTCGCCCAATCCCGCGGTCCCGGTACCGGGCAGCAAGATGCGCAGCCCAAGGCCACACAATCCTTGCCACAACCTGGAAGACAACCCACGATTTCAACTAGGATATCCCTCCCCCGAGAATGCCCGGAACACTTCCCATACTAGTCTACTTTCCACCCATAGGACAGGCGATCCGAACGATTCTCAAACTACCTAACGTAGCATATTTCCACGATGAACCATGAGGGGGAAAACACCCCGGGGTAGGAATATCGAGATATCGAGTTAGGTAGGTCCTCTCACCCCTGTAGTGACAGGAAACCAAGACTACCTACCTAATTATACAACTCTCGAAATAGGATCATGATAGACGGCACGCCAATATATCCACAGGGTTGGGATAATTCTCTGCCGTTTTCTCCTATTATTTGGGAAGGTACGAAACTCACATATCATACGCTATTGCCTATGCCTTCGAGAACAATTCTGAGGCAAAAGCTGAGTCCTGCATTACCACCACTCACCTTGTTGGTTACATGACGGGTGCCCCTTACGCCAAACACAACATTCAAGCTCGGCCATAACCCGAGGAGATAATGCTGGGTTTAGGCTTGTGAAAATCTTCCGGTGCTTGGGTCCGCAAGCGTTCAACTTTGCCACCTAGAGAATGTATAGCCATATTCGCCATCATGTGGCGCTGATACTGGGGGAGTTGGGTGATGACCCACTGTACAAGAATACCAATCGCGTTCCCTTCCAGTATTCTCGTTGGTTTCGAGGTCTTCGAGATTGTGTGTAATAGCAGACCCCGGTACCCCCAGCCGATCTTGGCACGTCGTTCCACCAAGCCGGGAACGGACACCAAAGCGGCCCAGGATACTTTATGACACCTGCTCTCAAATTAGCATTCAAAATCAAATATTTAGGGAAAGGTGATGACTTATCCCCGGTCCGCCTGGGGGGCCGCCCTCCTACCATTTCTGGCACGAGGGCAACCGAGACTACCTCTTCCATTGCGGCCTGTCCCATATATTCCAATATTGCGCCGTTTCATAGTCAGGCAGGGGGACCTACAGACTGGTCTCACAGCGAATCAACCACATGGCGGACAAGTACGAAACTTTGACTCTATCTTGCGATAGGTCCCGGCCTTGCTTGAGATATCGACTGTTTTCCAGAGCTGCAAATCTGTATGAAATTACAAAACGGATTCCGCAAATGCGAAGCAGCATCATCGCACATAGTGAGCCCTTCCAGGAAGAAATCACCTCGTTTATCTCCGGTATCATCAGCCTCTTTTTGTTTGTATAGCGTTGCCAACGAGGACTTGTTTTTGATTCCTCTCCAATCGATTTAGGAGGGCGGTTACGCTCGGTCAAAATACATCCACAAAAACCGTGCTATCATCTGAAAGAGAAGCCCCTTTCGGAACACCTTCAGGAATGTTGCTTGAAGCCAGTATAGACCTCAAGCTTGGGACTGGCGAACCTCTTCCCGTGGGACGAAACCCACGGGTTCGGATTAATGCGTTTGATCAGGCTAGGCGAATAATTGCCACGTGCTGGCAGCTGCTGCTGCACGGTCAAGGGCGCCTGTGGCATGTTGGAGATACCCACAGGGGACAAAGGTCATCCATAATGCCAGAAAAAGGAGTACCGAGGACTTCACAGGTAGGTTCTTCTTTTTGTCAGCCACAACATTTCTGTGTGATTTCTAGAGACTCTCACAACACCAAGAACCATGGTGCGACCGGCAAGACAACATCCCAGAAGCGTTGTGAAATGTCGTGGCTGGCTGTATGCTGCCTTTCCTGTATCCAAAATCCTCATTCCGGCATGATCAATATGTGATCAGGTATGACCCTTGTCATGGGCAGTTTTCTCGAGAAGAGGCCAACGGCGTTCCTTGATAGCCTATTTGTGATCATTGTGCTTATCCCAGGGGGTGAGCTGACGAGCGTCCTCAGGCCAGAGGCTCTTACCAAATGACTCATGGCATCCTCCCTCTCGCGCACCATAAAGGTGACTGGGCTGTTCTCCCCCATCGGTCCGCCATGACCAGCATCAGGTTCAGTTATCCAACTTTTCAGCGGGTATAGCTTCCACTGATGTCCAGTCTGGCTTAAAAGATGGCTTCGAACGACAGAACGCAACACTTTGAACCAGAAGTATACTTAGGGTTAAGTTCCGAAACTCATTCCACCTCTTCGGGTTGGGCCATCTGAAACCGACAGCCTGAGTTTCACGATAGATCCCATTGCGGCTGACAGCGAGGTCCTGTTACAGGCTCGAGAGCGGCATATCGCGAACATCCAACCTTCGAGGGGGCCCGATATGGGCATTCCTTGCGGAAAATGAGAGACGGAGAACTGTAGAGGAGGCGACACGCGTAGGGAATGTCATTGACAAAAGAGTGATTTCAATTTCCAGAGACTGAGGTGATTTCAAGCTGGTTTTGCAGTAAAATGTGCACATAAAATGATTGATGCGTGTAATTATAAAGAAAGACTTCGCATTGCGGGAGCTGTTGAAGATGGAGAGGAAGGAGCTCTCGCTTAGACGCGTTGGTGGGGATTATGTTGACGCGCCAGCACGTGATTCAATGGCCATCGAGGTACGTACCGATCCACTGCTACTGACGTTGTAAGTGGGCGCTAGAACATCGACACCCAAGTTCGCATCCATGGTTTTATTAGTCATTATTCCCAACCGCCTCGCAAGACTTCCTCTCCGGGTTTCAAATACAGGCTATTAGCCAGAGGGAATTTTGCATATTATGGGGTCGTGCTGTGATTTCTCAATCAGCAGTAACCTCTGAATCTAATAGACTGGAATCACCCGTCATGGCCGAAGCTGCTGCATCCCAGCCATCGAGGTCTAAGCTCCTCGAGAACCTTGTAGAAGCAGGCAAGAGGGCCTTTAATCCGTCTAATGATAATCCTACTCGGGAGAATGGGCGGATAGAATACGATTCTATCTTAAACAAGTAAGTCGCTGCGCTTTCGCTATCTTGAAGTTGACCTAACTCCCACAGGACAGAAACATGGGCCCTTTTACCCGCTCTCAACGCTTTGATCAAGCCCAATGTGCTCCCCGAGTGGCTTCGTAGCCCTTTCGTGGATACTCTCACCCTCCTCCCTCTGAGGGAGGGCGGTGTTCGCGCAACCATGGAATTCGTGTTTTCCGTCCATCCTAGTAATACCGGCCGAGCACCGGCTACAAACCAACCCCAGAAGGAGGGTGCGAGCATAACCCATGAGGCTCTGGCCATAGCTACGAAGCTTCTCTCTTCTGTCCCTGCTTCCATGACTCCCGAGTCTTGGTTCGGAGGTATATCTGCTCAATTGTTACACTTGATGGAGGGAAAAGATGGCCCAGACCTGAGCAAAGCTGCTGCTCAAATTGTTGGGTTCGGGATTTTGGGAAAGAAGATGTACGGGGCTCCAGGTTAGGGAACATCTTCATGGGTGAAACCTCAGTCCAATAGCTAACCTATATCGACAGGCTCTCCAGGCTGGCAGGTATTTGTCCAGCCCCTGATAGAAAGCCTAAACCCATCCACAAGACTTGACTCGACAACGAGAATAGTCAAAGATGAAGAGGACGACGGGATCGTCGACCTCACCAAGGGCCAGGTTTTAGTAAAAAGTGAGGCAGTAGGACGATCAGTCCGGCTTCTTAGCGTTTTGGTCTTCTCAAATCCGTCCCCTGGCCTTTGCAGCAGAGTGCTGAAGCCGGTGCTTCCCCAGCTGTGGGCTTTGGCCTCATTGCCCACGGATGAGGGGGCATCTAATGGCATTTCGAAAGTCGCCCGAAACTTACTACAGGCATACCTTAAATTATCGGGCAACATCGAGACCGCCTCGATGCTTATAAGGAATCTGCTTGGCAGAGGTTCCCCCCCCGCATCCGAACAGCCATGGCATTACCGCAAGGATAATCAAGGATTCGAAATCGTCTCTCAAAGTTTTGCGGCAGACATGTCAACAAGCGAGATTCAATGGACGGAGCTACAGTCCCGGGCAGAAATCCTCGCCGACCTCCTCGTGGACAGCTGCTCTCCCGAAAACGTCTCGTCTATATTTATCGAGCTCTTCCAGCGATGGATTAAGACTGCAGGGACACCGGATACCATCATCTCTTCACCAGATAATCAAGATGACGGGCCGCAGGCGGCAATGGAGACTCTGTTCGACGTTACAGTATTGCAAAAACTACTTGAAAAGAACCCCGAGAAGCTTATCAACCAGTTTGACCGGCTGCTTGAGCTGATCTGCCAAGTGTTGAGGGTTGATGATACGTCCCGGCTTGCGGATGATCTAGTAGGCGTTACTTTGAGTTTACTCAATCTCGTCATCACAGCGCCGACCTTTAGTAAATCAGACATCAATCAAACAGAGCTCAATGTGATCGAGCGGTCTCTGGAACGGCTGAGTGGTGAATCTCGCCCTCAGATATCGCAGACGGCGTCAAATCTCTCTCTGCTTCTGAGATACAAGGATGAGCTCAATCAACAGGAGGAGGCGATATCTCACCCCTCGAAACGCCAAGTGGAAGACCGGAGAACATACGACCTGGCCATGAATTACATCACTGGAGTTGACAGCCCTCCACCAGTCATATCGGAAGGGTTGAATCTCTTGTCGGGGCTCATCCAGGGCGAGAGTTCGGTTCTGGACATCACCGCCGTAAATGTTCTGTTATCGAATCTGCTCGAAAACGGCGAGGACTACGTCAATCTACGGGTGGTAAAGCTCTTCACGCAGATGGCCAACAAGCATCCGCGGTCAACCGTCAAAGAACTACTGGATCACTTCCTGGACCCCCAAGAAAAGCTGAGCACGGATATTAGGTTACGGTTCGGTGAGGCCTTGGTACAAGTCATTGAACGGTTAGGCGAGACGTTTGCCGGCGAGGTAGCCCTGCAAGTGACTGAAACGTTACTTTCTATTGCCGGCCGTCGTGGATACCGCCCAAAGGCAATGCGGAAGCAGACACGGGAGGAGAGGAAGCAGAAGATCAAAAAAGAGGAGGACGGGGATGACGAGCAGGATGACGAAGACGAACGCACAGCGGATGAGAAGGCAAGGGACGACGTCCTCGCGCAGATTCTACAGGGCTGGGAGAGCAAAAGGGGTTCCGAGGACATCAGGATGCGTGCCTCCGCGCTGTCGATTCTGGGAACAGCGCTGGAAACCAACATCAAAGGGGTTGGGTCATTCCTCGTGTCAACAACAGTCGACCTGTGCGTCAGCGTGCTTGCCCTGGAACCGGAAATGGAGAAGGCCATTCTTCGAAGGGCCGCCATCATGGTTGTCCTGGGGTTCATCCGAGCACTGGAGTCTGCCCGAGAATCCGGCGTTTCCCTCGGGTTTGGGCTTCAGGAGGAGAGTCGGTCTGACATCTCGCGGACTCTGCAGTACGTCGCAGGTACTGATAACGACGGGCTGGTGCAACAGCACGCACGGGATGTGATTGAGAGTCTGGAGAACTGGCACATGGCAAGCCTGGTACCTTCCCAGGCTGACTATGAAACATCGAGGGTTGGGCGGCTGGAAGGTCTCAGAGTGAACGCCGATACAGCTGGGCTAGGCGCATCATCGGGCAGGCCACGGCCGCGTATCGAAGAGATTGAATAATCAACTAGTAAAATGTATATTTCACGAAAGACATTGGTCGTCTCATGTGCAGCAGAAGTGAAATTGAAAGCGGGCACCAGAGGATCATGCAGCGCAGCACATTAAAGCTGGTGGCATCTTGTATAGGCGAAAGCTTCTACTAAGTCTACTCTAAGCCGTGTCAGGTACAGAAGAGTGTTTAGTTGCCTCAAGTCTCGAAACAAGTCTAGCCACCCGTGTAATTAGAGTATGTTGAATCAGAAATGGCGCAAACTGGGGCAAGATGGTGGCTGAGAAATACAAGGGCAAAACGACGGTGTCGGAGGGGCTGTTACACTAAAACACATCTTTAATCCCGACGCTAGGGCGCCACTTTTTTTTTTCTTTTTCTCGTCTGAATCTTCAACGGTAATTAGTTCTTTAATGAGGAGAGGGTTTGATATAATTACGTGGCAAGGTCTTGGTCCTGTCATCTTGGCGAAAGCGCCGAGACCTTGTTTGTCATAGACGAAAAGCGGGCCAAATAAGAAGATGAAGATGAAAAACTCGCTCGGTTTATGTGCTTTCAGCTTGGAATCTGCTCAGGTCATCATAGGCTCCAACACGGCAGCACGCAGACGCATCACGGTGCCCAGTGCACTTGCAGTAGTGGCGCTTCATGGACCAGGGTGCTCGGTAAGCTCCTGACGGATTCCTAGGGCATGACAGCGCTAGTCAGGTAGCTAGTAATTAAGGGGCAGATCCAGCTGGATTATCGCCATTCCTTGGGAGTGAGAATTAGGGTTTCCGTCTCTTCACCATCCGAGCAGGCGGACAGGCGGACAGGACCATGAAGCCGGTGGATCCGCACAATTCGTATCGCATCGCTGGGCGTGACACGTATACGATCCGTAGATCAATCGGCCTTGGACTGTTGGAGCGGTGGGCGACGATACGATGTGCTGAAGCTTGCCAAGCACGCAGAATACGACCCAGAGAGGGCAGCCCTGAAGCTGCAACACACTCTGAGAGTCTGCTCAAACAGGAGATGTTATAACTGTTGACCGACCCTCGATCTAGCCATGTAGTGCTACGTCCCGCGTATTCACTCATTCATGCAACTTCGCTGCCACCCACAGAACAGGGAAGAAGCCCTCGGTCTCCGGTCATCAGGTAATTAATCATGAAATCTGGTTATGTACCTCAGGCGGCGGGCTGACGGGGGCTGGGTCTCTTACCTACCCATCACATAATATAACAAGTAATTATGATTACCTGGCATCGGGTGCTTCCCCCGCTGACAATGCCCGAAGGACCCGTGTGCAGCACGGATGGAAAACGACCTGAGGAGGAGATGGCGTTGCTGGACGCCGAAATGAAGGACAATAAATTAATTTTGCTGGTGTAGCCCCAACTCAACTGAGGCCGAGTCGTACAATGTAGGTAGGTCGCGATCCTGCTCCAGGCGGGACATGGCGTGAGCTAGAGCGATGGGTGCTGGATCATTCGATGATTGAAAGCCGCTCGACGTCGACCGTGGGCTTGAGCAAGAGTGAGGAGGGAGAGGGGCCCTGGTCGCGCTAGAGGGGGACCGTTGTTGGAGATGATCTGGTTGAAACACGCACATAAAATAAACGGGAAGGACTGATCAGCCAGCGACTAGGATGGTAGCCCCAATTAGCAGATACCTCTGGACGGGTGCAGATACCTTCCAGAAGCGCAGCGCACAGCAGCCACAGCTAGTACCCAAGCAGATAGGCTCAGGTACCACGGGCTTGGCCTCAGGGGGAAGGGGCATTGAGGTGGTGCCTGGCCAGAAATTGGCGCCCTGCCATTGGCCCGCGCCCTGGTGGCTCTGTCTCAGGTCAACTCCGTACCTGCAGACGAACGATCCCTGCTCCTCAACGTGCCTTCAACCTTCCCCTTCCTGGATCCCTGCTCTGCTATAGACCGCCAGCAGAACAGAACTGACGGCGAATGCAACCGAGTCTCAGCGCAGTGGCGAATCCTATTTGTGCCTGCTCTGACTAACACCCAGCTCGCGCCATAGATGGCTGGGCTGCCTCCTCGACGCCGTGCTGGGTGCCATCGCTCACACCCTCCAGAATGCACGCCCGGCGCCAAAGGTCTCCCGTCTCCTGGATAAATGGCCCGCCAGGAACACGGGACATGGCGTTGCACAACATAATATTATAGGATCGGATGAGAATAGGCCGCCTGCCATTCCCAGCAAGCGAAATTGAGCCCATTATGGCTCTGAGCATGGCGAAACAGCTGGGAACCTGGCCCCTGTAACCGCTGTCCCCGTTCGGCCAAACAGATCACACACACCTTTCTGTCCTCTCCCCATAGAACGGGGCCCATTAGTCTGAAGCATGGAGGCAGGGAATATGGCTGTTTCGCCCCGAAAATTCGCACCTGGAAGAGGAACATGGGACTGCACGCCGAGCCTCCTTTCTGGCAACTACTATTATTACTCCCATTCCCCCTCCTCCTTCGTTTCTTCTCTCTTCTTCTCTCCACCGTTGACCTTCAAAGTTCGCTCTCCAGGTCTCTCGCTCTCTTGCAACGTCTTCGCGACTTGCCTGCCATTCCTTCATTTGGTTTCTATTCTCGCCTGGCTGTGCCAACATCCCAAGAAACGTACTTTCGCTTCAAGCTCCGGCTTCAAAACTCGCCAACAAAGTCAAAAACTTGATTTCACTCGCTCGAGATCAAACCTGCATTTGTCCAAGGACTAGCTCAATCGAATTCGCTCTGCTCGCAATCCACCCGTCTCCTGGAGAGAACTACTCGTGATTTTAACTCGATCACCACCACGACCCACAACTCCGTTTCATTCCCAAAGTAACAGTCAAGATGAAGGCTTCCGTTGCTGCTGTTGGCGTCCTCGCCGCCGTTGCCAGTGCGCATTCTCCCCGTCACTTCCACTGGAACCGTCGTGCTCTCAACGAAACAGCCTCTGAGACCACCCTGACCGTTAGCGTCACCCAGGTCACGACCATCACTAGCTGTGCTCCCACCGTCACCAACTGCCCCGCCAAGCAGACTGACATCGACAACCTTCCCGAGTCCGCCAAGACAACTGCCGTTGTCACCCAGACCGTTCCCCTGACCACCACAGTCTGCCCCGTCTCTGATGCCTCTAGCATTGCCTCGTCTCTGGTCAACGAGCACATCTCCAGCAATGCTCCGGTCTTCCCCAGCAGCACCGGACTCTGGTCCAACTCTTCTGCTCCCGCCCCCACTGGCGCTCCCATCACCTCTGGTTCTCCCAACCAGCCCAGCTTGACCACTTCGGTCATCCCCATTGTCACCGATGTTCCTACCACCATCGTCGAGAGCGGTCTCACCAGGACCACCCTTGTCCAGTCCACCATCTACTCCACCGTCACTGTCCCTTGCTCCAGCGCCTCCGGCATCACCTCTGCTCCTGGCTCCGGTAACGGCAATGGCAATGGCAACGGTGGTGATGACATCACCTCCACCAGCACCTCTACCACCACTGGCACCACCACCCTGACTGTCTCTGCTCCTGGTGGCACTGAGACCAACAACAGCCCTAGCAACGGCGGCAACAACAGCGGCAACGGTGGTAACAACGGTGGCAACGGCAACAACAGCGGAAACGGTGACTGCGTTGCCTCCACTGTTACCGTCACTGCTCCTGCCTCTACCGTCTATGTCACCATTGGCGGCGACAAGACCTCCACTGGCGCTGGTGCTGGCAAGACCTCCACCGGTGCTGGCTCTGTTCCCACCGGAACCCAGGCTTCTTCTGCTCCTACTGCTGCCCCTACTGGTGGAAACAGCAACAACGGAGGAAACAATGGTGGTAACAACGGCGGCAACAACGGTGGCGACGATGATGAGTGTGATGACGATGACACTCAGGATGACGATGAGTGCGACGACGATGAGGGTGATGACGATGAGTGCCCCCCCGAGAGCACCACCACCCTCTCTGCCACTGTCACCGTTCCCTTCCCTACTGGCAACGGCACTCAGCCCACCCCCACCGGCATCTTCCCTACTGGCGGCTTTGCCAAGCTCCGTCGCTAAGCAATTAAGTTACCTTCCCATGGAAAGGATAGGATGTTCCGCACGACGGGGCATGTGGTCCTGACAGCGGACATCACTCGATGGGCGGGTGGTCCCCCATCGGCTGCTTGATTCAATGTGACTATGGCTCATGAACACCCGAAAATTCACCCCAACATTTTATGGCGCCTTGGTCTTGAGTTTTTGCAGATAAACCATTGGATAGGTTTAGGAGATTTCTTTGTCATTTCGTACATTTTTCTTTCTGGCTAGCACAGGGTTCACACTCGGCTGTGGATATGTGTATTTACTTCTTAGCGTGTACAAAGTTGTCATATAAAATGGAAAGGGTAGAACATTCTAGATTTCTTGTCAATCATCTGTGCGTGTCGTGACATGTTCCATGAAGATCGTAAATTCTTATTCTATACTTGTTCCTTTGCCTATGCGCTCCCGCTATTGCAGGAAGAACGTACCAAGCCTTTGAGGCTCAGACGCCCATATTCCTGGTATTGTGGCCCAGTTGCTTCATGTTGAACTCGCTGCCGATGCGTCATAATTCAATATCTTCATTATAATCCTAGCCAAATAGCACTTTCTCATACTGTGCCTGCGTGAGATGTTGATACAATACTCCTCTCAGCGCAGCTTTACTTAGACTCAGCTGAGGGAGTAGGCCCTCGGTCTGCTTCAAGTTTGCCTTGATACTCTCTACGTGGCCTCCAAGCTGAAGCGCCAATTCCTTGATCTCCTCTTCGCCTTTCAAATCCTAAAGGGCTCGTTAGATTTCCCACATGTCTTTTTGTTTGCAGCTCATTGAACAGTGACAAAGGCTTACCTTGAACAACGCACCGGGGGGGACGGGCCCCTCGTCGTCAAAGGCCAACTCGACGTCGTCGCCCGCGCGGGATGTGGTCGCGTGGGGGGTCAGTACGTGAGCCTTCTTGAGCTGCTCCCGCTGCTGCCTCGACTGGCCCCTTGCGCCGGCCTCGAGGTTCTGCAGCGTCTTGTAGTCGCGCTCGAGCTCGCGCTCCAGGCGCTCCTTCTCCTTCCTCAGCAGCTCGACGGCGTGGAGGGCCGGGTCGAGCTGCCGCTCCAGGGCCTGCGAGGCGTCGAGGACGCGCTCGAAGTCCAGCTCGAGCTCGCGCCCCCCGTCGCCGCCCCGGCGTCGGCGGGCCACCATCGAGCCTCCTGCACTGGCGGTGGCGGGGGGGAAGGGGAGGCCCTTGTGGAGCTTGCGCGTGATGCGCCTGTAGAGGACGGCGAGGGCCGAGGAGGTGTGCTGGCGGCGCTGCTCGGAGTTGGAGAGGCGTTGGAGGATGGGCCGGTGGGCGAGCTCGAGCGTCTCTGTCGCCGCTGCGATGGAGGGGCCGCCGAGGGCGGTCCACTTGGCGTCTATCGTCGATTGACGGATGCCGCGTACGAACGAGGCGACGTGGAGGTATGGTTTGGTAGGGAGCTCGCTGTCGGATTCTGACGGGGAGCTCTCCCTCGAGGGGCTGCGTCTGGACGGCGGCCTTTCCTGCTCTTCATGCTGTGATTCTTCCGCTTCCTCTTCCTCTCGTTCGACTTCCGGTGGAGGTGTATTTTGTTTTCGGCCACGCCCGCGTTTTCTCTTTGTTGCAGGCTCATCATCCTGTGCGCCTAGCGATTCACGCTGCCCTGAAGGTCTCCCTCGCCGCCTCTTGGCTGGTGGAGGGGCAGCACGCGCGGTTGACTCGTCCGCGGCCTCTTCCTGTGTGGTGACCTCTGGCTCATTCCGGCCCTTCCTCCTACCTCGGCGGCCACTTTCCTGTGCTTGTTCCTGAGGAACATCCTCCTCGGTTGGTGCTGCCTTTGCCCCTCTTCTCCGTGGTGCCTTTTCCTTACCCTGCTGCTTCGAAGTAGTGGCTCTGGGGGGACTGGCAGGTGCCTCTTCTTGTTGCAATTGAGTTTTCGATGGCCGTCCACGTTTCCGGGGGCGGGCTACCTCCTCGTCGCCGGCGTTAGCATCCCCAGTGGCATCGGGGTTGGGAGGGTCTCTCTGGGACGCGTGAGACGCGCTGGCGGGTGGCCGACCGCGTTTGCGCTTGGTGCCTGCTTGTCCGGGGGCCTGTGATAACAATGAGTGCGTGTTTTTGGATGTAATGATCTGAACTCGATGCGAACGGAAGATCACTCACCATATTTGCCAAATCTACTTAAGTCCGGTTCATGAAGGAGAAAGTACACAGGCGCGGGTGGATTTGGGTGGTTCCGAATAGCTGCAACCAACGGCCGGGATCTTGGCGCTTCCGAGTAGTGCAAGGGTCCAAGTCGGCGCTGTTCTGCAGCGACCGCGGAATTAGTATGGGGATCAAATGGTTTGGCAGCTCGGGGTCCGCTAAGAATGCGCCCCCCCACGTAGGTTGTTTGCTGCACGGTTGCTGGCCAACCGTTATTGGAGCCAATAGACCCCTCCCCTCCCAAAAGAATGGAAGATTGTTGGCTAACAGCACCACTAGGACAGCCGGGGCCCTGATGCAATTACCAACACCGGCAGCCTAATAAACTTCCTATCTGTCCTTCCACATCCAGCAAGCTTCTCCTCCTCCTCCACCCAGATCACTGTAGTCCATCTGTCGCTTGGTCCATTCTTCACTTGACTGGTATCGGTATTGATCAGAGAAGCTTCTTAGATCTTGGCCGCATCGTCTTCTTGACATTATACTACATCCTTACTCCTCCGCTTAGTTCCACCCAAGATGCGATTCTCCCTCTCCACCGCAGTCGCGGCCCTGCCCGCCCTGGCCTCCGCGCAAGATTTCCAGCAGTATCAGGCTCAGTTCCAAGACCTGCTCGGACAGATCAGCTCGTATGTGCCCAATCCTGGAAAATACGATCATGCTTCTGCGCAAGAGGCCAAGAACGGCCCCTTGAAGCTGCATACCTTCACCCTGGAAAACTGGAACGACACCCTCTACGGCCCCGTGGCCCCAACTGCCACCGTCCCTGAGGAGTGGTGGGTGCTGGTCACCGGCCGAAACAAGACCTGCTTCGGTATGCTTCTTACCAGTTGCGCGCGGTGGGCGCGCGATGCCCTTTTTGATGGCTATGCTAACAGTTGACCAGGCCACTGCAACAAGCTTGAGACTGCTTTCAATGAGTCTGCCCGACAATTGGCTCCTCTCCCTGATGCGCCTCACGTAGGCCTGCTCAACTGCGATGATCAGCCCATTCTCTGCAACAGCTGGTCCACCGGCCCAGGCAGCCTTTGGATCTTCGATATGCTCCCCCCTCCCGCGGAGATCAACATTTACAAGAAGAGGGTCAACTTGACCACCGCTTCCCCCGAGGACTTCCTGGCTCTCAAGGGCGACCACTCCAGCCTGCCCGTCCACGAGTCCTGGTTCCACCCCTACAACGGCCAGGGTGCCAAGCTGGGTCTCACTGTTCCTTTTGGCTACTTCACCTGGGCTTTCGCGCTCATCCCTAGCTGGCTCTTTATGCTTGTCATTTCTTTCTTCAGCCGAAGCATGATGTAAGTATTCGGCGATCACATAACTACCTGGTGGTTTCCGTTGCTAACACAAATGAAACAGGTCGCGCCGTATGGAAGGCCACGGTGGCGCTCCTCCCCGCCGATAAGTGCGCATAGCTTCAACGAACTCAGGTGACGGAAATAGTGGTTGTGGCTCGGTAGACGTTGTAATAGGTTGTTATGGGGTGGGTAGAACTGCATACATATGTCGCTTCATGGGTGCTCGTAACTGGAAACCACGCGGTTTCCTGAGAGGAATGGTAACAAATTCACATCTTTTCCGTTCCCACATCAAGTCGCAGTGCGCCGACTAGAAATCTTGTAGATATCGCCAAGGTCTCGGAGTGGCGCGCACGCTCACGAGGGGCGATTGCAGACGTCCTGCAGCGCTGTCAAGCTGTCCAGGACTTCGTCTTTGATATGCGCATTGGCAAATTTGCCGTAGCGGAGATCGCTCAGGTCGCCGATAATTTGCTTGGTCGACTCCAGCAGTTCCGCCTCCTCGCTCTTCAATCGTTCAATCTCGACGTCGAGGGCTTTGACGGCTCCGTCCACTTCGGGGAGGATCGAGGAGAGGGAATGCTTCGCAGGTTTTGCCCCGGAGAGGCTGCCGAATAGCTGTTAATGAAACAAGATTTCTGTTAGCGACTCAAAGTATTGGGCTCGTGATCGGGGCACCCGAAGTGTCCTTGATTGTGTGGTGCTCACCGCTCGCTCCAGCTCAACTTCGCCATCTACTTCGCCTTTGGCGGCTTCTCTCTTTACTCTCAGCAGCTCCTTCTTCATTGCCTGGCCCAGGGTCGCCTCGGCCTCGATGTTGGATTGGACTTCCTCAAGTGCTTTGTCGCGTTGCGCCACGAGGTCCTGCCACAACAATCGAATCTGGGGATTGTCGCGCTGGGTGGGGGGGAACCGCTCGGCGAAGTGCTCGAACGTCATGATGGCATTCAGGCTGGAGGGTCGCAGGAGGTAGTTCTCCAATACCTCGGATTCCGTCGGAGCCATGGCCGGGGTGCAGTGTTCGGTCGCAAATCCGGTCAATGGACGATATGGAAATGAGTTCAGAGCCGAGTAGTTCAATCACAAACACACAGCGGTTGCGCAAGGTGTGTGGGTTGGCGCGTGCGTGATTCGCTGACGGGGTCTTGAAAGGAAGCGAGTGGGATGGATGGATCTCTGATTAAGGCGGGATGTATCCTAGGAACCTCGCAATCATCAGATGTCTACTACAGCAGGGCAACGGGGCTAAGCTTGGTCTTGCAAGGACAATGGAATCATGAATTAAACAAATCGGCCGCTTGTTCTTAGAAAGGATACCGGCCATGTACCTGGAGGCAGTAAAAGCAGTAGAAGTTACAGGCGGTTCATTGTCCTGGACATCGGCCACCGCCCTGCTGCATCCACTCAATTTACGGCTCAGTGGTGCAGCCACTTTAATTCAGTCGCGTCGCGTTACTCGCTCCCCCCGGCCCCAACATGTACTCGACTTGTACCTGCCTCCTGCTGCCAACTATCCGCAGATTTCTCGAAAAGTAAAGCCTTTTCTTTGCTTCACAAACAAGAGCCCTGTTTCCCACCGCCGCTTATCGCTTCCATCTTTTTAAGCGCAGGGACGCGGCTTTTTTCCTTCTCTCTTCTTCTCTCAGTGTCAGAGTTCTCCCCTTTTCTCCGTCGTGCTGTCGCATTCATCAGAGGAAAAGATAGTCGAATACTCGCTCAGCACTCAGACTAGACACTCTCTCTCATATTATCAACCGGAAGCCTCATCTTGATTTTTTCACCAGTATCGGAGGGCTAGAGGTGGTGCTCATTCAAGAGGCACCAGCCAAGCAGAGAATACGTGGCTCTCACCCTGAAAACTAAGCAGCCATGCCTCCCACACGTCAGCAACAGCCTCTCTTTCACAAAGATGAGAAGGTTCTGTGTTTCCACATGGACATGCTCTACGAGGCCAAGGTGATGGATGTCCAGCCGGGCGAGAAGGCGGGCGAGGGCTTCCGCTACAAGGTCCACTACAAGGGCTGGAAGAACACCTGGGATGACTGGGTGCTCGCTGACCGGATCCGACCTCTGGATCAGGAGCACAAGGAGCTGGCAGCCCAGCTCCACGCACAGTTGAAGAATAACATTCAGAAGACGACCAAGCAGCCCAAGAAGAATGTACGAGGGGCGGCGGATTCCGCTCGAGGTAGTGAAGAAAGGGGATCTGCCGCCGCCCAGGCAGGTCGAGGCGCCCGCAGAGGGAAGGATTGGGAACTTGAACAGGTAGGGTCTTTTCTTTCCTTCTTTTTTGTTGATATTTTCTTGATTGTCAATCCCTGGCATCTTTACATCGCTTCGCGTGTGTCCAGCGGTATGTGCTTTACGACTCGAAGAAAAGTTTCCCTTGCACCGGGTTTACCACTGTGAGAGTGAGCAGGGTGCTCCGGGACAGTAAAAGGGACCTATTTGCAGTGTCTTTGCATCACTGTCAGAAATTTGACTTTGGGCTGATTCAAAGTCACTTTTTGTGGCCTGGAAACGCACAGTTGGAGTGGTCGGTGACTCCAAGGGCGAGGTTATCAAGTGGTGGTCATGCTGCATAACCGACCCTCCCTCTGCACCGTCGTACCATGCAGAGAACCATCAAAACCCATCTTCCCACCCTTCATCTTCCACCATCTTGTCGTCATTTGGACCCGGCTTTTTCTACAGGTGTGATTTCTGCTCGAGCATCTAAACCTCAACCCGGACTGGTCCCCCTAAATCTTCGCACGCTTCCAGCGCGTTCTTCAGGCTTTTTTCCACCCAACTTCTCTATCAGGGTTGCAATGCCGGATCTCCATCCAGCGCAGCACGAGTTTCCCCTTTCCAACACTCGAGGAGCCATAGACGATCCCGCTATTTCGTCGGTTTCTTGTTCGATAGGGGAAAGGGAAAGAGCACAGTCGTTAAAGAGAAAAAAGGGTCCAAAGGATCACTTGACCATTCATCCCACCAAGGGGCACTGTTACTTATCTCGGACTGGTCAGCCCAGGTGGGATAATCGCTACGCGCATCCTGCACCCAAATCACCAGAGAAAGCTCCTCTTCCCCGTCTTGCGCGGAAGGATCTCAACACGGAAACTCGGCAAATTGGAGAACAAAGTTGGAAGAAATATGTGTACCCAGGAGGAGAGAACCAGATTAAGCGCCAACTTCTACAGAGGCGGAGCTTGAAGACGAAGCCTCAGCCAACATCAGGCCCACGACTTTCTAGCTCGAATCAACCAGCTTATTGCAGGGATGATATACCAGAGGTAGCAGACTGCTGGTTTTTTTTTTCGAATTCCGCCTTTGTTAACGCCAAGTGGCCACCTGTTTAACTCGTTGTTTGCTTTACGAATCATAACTTGCCATGAAGAGAGGCTAACATGAAAACAGGAGGACGCTTTCCACAACAAGCCCATGATCAACCTCCCTATTCCAGATCACATCCAAGCGATGTTAGTTGACGACTGGGAGAACATCACCAAGAACAACCAACTTGTTCCTCTCCCCCATCCCAAGCCCGTGAGCAGAATTTTTGATGATTACCTCGACACTGAACGACCAAACCGACCAGAAGGTTCAGCCAGCCTCGATATTCTCGAAGAAGTTATAGCAGGCTTCAGCGAGTACTTTGAGAAGGGATTGAGCAGAATTCTGCTCTATCGGTAAGTTACTTCCCGCGTCTCAGTTCCTCTATCAGACATTGACACCCCTACCAGCTTTGAGCGTCACCAATACATGGAAGTTCGCAAGTTATGGGAAAACGCAGAAGAGAATGCCCAGATCAAAAATGTTTGTGATGTGTATGGTGCAGAGCATCTTGCTCGCTTGATTGGTACGCCCTTCTGACCCTTGAAGTTGGTTGCAGCCCCTAACTCTCTTTGCCAGTTACCCTTCCTGAGCTCCTGGCCCAGACGAATATGGATCAACAGTCCGTGTCACGCCTGAGGGAGGAGATCGGAAAATTCACCAATTGGTTATCCAAGAACTGCGAGACTTACTTCGTCAACGAGTATGAGAACCCAACACAAGAATATATCGACAAGGCCAGGAGCTTTTGATCTCTCTCAGGTCATGAGAACATGGAGTGCTCGTATGACGGCACCCGTCAAGGGAACTTCATTTCTTTAGCAACTTGTTGAATCACCACTTTCTTGTAAACTTGGTTGGTACGTGGCGCTCTATTTTGGCGGAAAAGGCATATTTATTTGGTAGTTTATTGAAAGGATGAGGTTTCATTAGTCGTCTCGCTCAGAGTCCACGCTCCTTCCACCTGTAAGGCTGAACAGGGTCTTGATTTTCTCAGACAGCAATAGTTTGCTCGACCAAGACCCGTTACTCCTCCTAATAAAGCAACGCCGTCGAGTCAGCACATGACCGCTCATCGGCGAAATGTTATGCAGAATCTCTTTGTTATGCCATTGTTCTAGAATCCAATCAATATACAGGGCACAAACGTGCCAAGGTATCGTTACAGTAGTGATACAGCCCCCGTCCCTCTCGTGTTCTTTCTTTTCTGTCGTGAATCATCCCCGGTCCGGTGAGGCTTCTCCCCCACTCGCTTGTTTATTTATTCACATATCGATGAGTCTCCATCATGTCTGTCTACCAGCGCCCATGTCCACCCTCGTCCTCGCCTTCTCGATGTAGAACCCGGGATCGGGCGTCCGGGAAGCCTTGAGCTCCTGCTTCGTCAGCGCCTTGTCCACCTCCTCGACGCGCACGAGCTCCTTGACCTTGAAGATCATGCCGGCGAACTGGGGGCTGACGGGGTGGAAGACGGTCCGCCCCCGGCGGCGCAGGCCCAGGGCGTTGAGGACGCCGCGGGTGCGCTCGGGCAGGCCGATGCTCGACCGGTGGAGGGTTATCCGGAAGAAGGACATTTCTCTTCCTGTTTCTGTGTGGTTTTTTTTTAGGGGGGTGTATTTAAATAGCGTCGAGGGCGGTGGGACAAAGCTCTATGCTTGTGGAATCGTGGTGGTTATGGCCTTCGAGTTCGAGAATATGGAATTTTTCCAGACAGGACCCGGGGGGGGCAACTGTTCTTGATCTGTGCACTGTATTGTCAGGCCTGAGTGCTGGGACAATGGCCCAGAATCGTATTGCGTACTTTGCAGCTTCCAATTGACGATCGTGCACGACTCCTCGCCTTGGAGTTCGGGAATAATCTGCAATCTACGATACTGGTTCGCTTCAGAGGCTGATGGGGATTCACGATGTCACGTGCCAACATGGCTCTTGGGCTACCCTACATCTTTTGGCGGGGTCGGGACTTATTGGGGCCAACATGTCGATGCATTTCACAGGGAGTCGAGCAATTAGGGTGTTCTTTTTAATAGCTGAGGTTTTCCTTTTAGTCGATTCAATTGATACCTAGTAGTTCTTTATCTCTTACTTTGTGCTTGACTCGAAAGAGAATTGGGTCCATACGCAGTGAATATGGCGGCAGCTAGACAGCTCAACAACGTCACCCGAGGATACAAGTAACCTTGTCATCTGACCATGAGATTAGATTGCGGCCCCAGGCTATGATTGATTCCAGGAACAATAAAATTAAGAGCCAGAGGGGGGGAAATCATTTCCATACTACTCCGGTGCTTTGTTTCTCATGTCATTCACTCATCATGTATTGTTGTTGAGTGTGAGATCACACGAGGGCATCCCACTCATCACCTCCCTGCTTCCTCACGTTAAGACTCGACCAAAAGGCACTTAAGGTATGAAATTCGTCATTATATTTTCTCCGGCGTTTAAAGTGTTATATAGAAGCGCTGCCGGTAACTTCCGCACTACACATATCTAGGTTTCGTACAGCCCCCGGATTTTCTTTATCGAAGGTTCAACATCACAATAATACGACTGACGCCCAAATTCCTCGCTTACATCTGGACCTCAACTCTTCCCTCAGCACCAGGCGCACCCTGAGACAGGTTGGGAAGGAGATAAGTGATATCATCCCAAGGATGACGGTACAGACCAGTACGCAGACGCTTTTGGTCGAGGAAGTGAGCAATCAGACCGATGCTTCGGCCCAGAACGAAGAGACCGTTCAGAACACCCATCTTCAGGTAGTCCTCAGCCTCCTCAGCGGAGAAAGCACCGCAGTTGCGGAGGAGATCGACGAAGCATACGGCAATACAGCCGTCGACGTTCAGGATCAGGTTATCCTTCTTGGAGGTTGTGACGGTCTCGACTGCCAGAGCGTAGTCAAGCAGCTTGTGGGTGGGGAATTTGGCCAAGACATACTCCTTGACGAGCTCGACACGGAGATCGGGGTTGTTGCGGGACTTGACACGGTGACCGATACCGGGAATGAGCTTGTTGGCCTTGCGCATGCTGTCAACAAACTCTCTGGGGCTGAGGTTCTTGTCGAATGCACGGGTAAACTCGTCGGCAGCGCCGTCAAGAGCACCACCGAATCGAGAACCAATGGTTAGCAGACCAGATACCAGGGCACTGATCAGATCCTTGCCAGCACGGGTGGTGATGATGGTGTTCATGGCACCGGAGACGGCGGGACCATGGTCAGCAGTAAGCATGAGAACCATCTCCAAGAACTTGGAGGCGTAGTCGGGGAGTCTGCGTCGGAACCACAGCAGAGACATGACACCACCGATACCAATATCCTCCTTGAAAACGTCGGAGATAGGGATACCGGCGTAAAGCAGCTCTTGGCCACGGTCGTCTGAGATGGTGGAGATGAAAGCAGCAGGCTTTCGGATAAGACCCAGCTCCTGGGCCCAAGAGTAGTCGAGAGGGATCTTGGGAACGGGGGGTTCGGCCTGGGGCTTGATGGTGCCCTCCTTGACGAGCTTGTCGTACACCTGCTTCAGGACAGCAGGCATCTCCTCGAAGGTCTCTGGGACGTAGAAGCCAGCCTCCTTCATGGCCTTGTTCTTGTTGGCAGCGGTCTCGAGTTGCGAGTTGGCAAAAGAACCAGCGTGACCGAACTGGACCTCGGTCTTGAACATGCTAGCGCAGGTACCAATGGCCCAGGCCACGATGGGCTTGTTGATGATACCCTGCTTGACGGCCTCGATAACCTTGTATTCCTCAACACCACCAACTTCACCAAGCAGCAGCAGAATCTTGCAGTCGGGGTCAGCTTGGTAGCGGAGCATGTGGTCAATGAAGGTGGTGCCGGGATAACGGTCACCACCAATGGCAATACCCTCGTAGACACCATCGGTGTTGTTGGAAATGATGTTGTTCAGCTCGTTGGACATACCTCCGGACTTGGAGACATAACCGACGGAACCCTTACGGTAGAGCTTAGAGGCGACGATGTTGTCCATCATACCTCCGGTGTTACCGATCTTGAAGCTACCGGGCTTGATACCACCGACGGTGGCGGGACCGATGATGGTGACGCCCTTCTTCTTGGCGACATGGGCAATCTCTCGTGCTCGCTGTGAAAACAATTAGACACCGCTTTTCTGCTTTTGTGATTCCTCTCCGCCGCGGCTGTGCTCAACCGCCTTCAACCTCTTCAGAAACAACTTACTCGCTCGGGGACACCCTCGGCAATGATGGCGATGGTCTTGATCTGGGGGTTCTCCATGAGCTCCATGGTGGAGCTGTAGACACTGCGGGAAGAGGCAAAGTTGACGACAACATCAACATCTGGGTGCTTGCTCATAGCCTTGTCGACCTGCTGGTAGACAGGCAATAAGGTCTCGCTGGTGCCCCAGTACATCTTGCTGACGAATTGACCGCCGAAGGTGTAGATGATACCGGCCACGGAGGGAGTCTTGCGCTTGCAGATGAAGTCAAAGTCGAGCATACCCTGCACAGCACGGGGCTGCAGACCGTAGACGAAGCATCGAGTCTTCTCATTGAAGAGAGCATGGGAGGGCAGAGGGCTCAGAGGCCGACTGGGAGCAGCGAAACGCTGGATCTTGTCGTTGGCCGACAAATTGGCGGAGGATGCCATTTTGTGTGGTTCGTAGTCGGTCGCTTTACGTGTGTCGGAGAAAATCAACAAGCTGCGTCGATGATGGCAATCGAGGTCAGCGAGGACAATGGCAGCCCACGTCAGAGGAAGAGATGGAGAGAAGTTTGAAGAACGGAGACCAAGTATTCGAAATACGGTCTTTGGAGAGGGAAAGAAAGTAAGGGCTGCGGGGAGGGGCGAGGTAATACTCAGGAGATCGGAGGGCAAAACGACTGGATGGGGAGGGCCTGCTCATAGCCTGGATCATAGTTCGAGGTACAGGCACACGAGGCTGTTTGCTTGCTGAGCTGCTGCTGGGCCAGCGAAAAATGTAGCGGGGCAGGGTATCCAGCAGGTCTGAGGTACCGATACCGCCTGCACTTGCAGGCACATGTAGCTAGCCCGGAACGCGGACCCCGCTTTCGACGGGGCTCTGGTCCCCTCTGTTGCGGTACCAAGATAATTCCCAGGGGCACAACGCAGATGGCCCCGATGTACTCACCTGCTGTGCTGAACTGTCGATTGGTCTTCGGTGCACGCGGCCAATTGGGCACTAAGGAAACAATGACTCTGCGCAGGAACGAGATGCTTGGAAATCCAAGTGTCAGGAGGGGTTGACAGGCCAGCCCCTCGATGTCAAGGGCGCGGTCTGCTAGCGAAGTTGGGGCAGCCCCTGATTTTTTTTTGGGGACCTGGTTTTCGCATTGGTCCAAGTTCTGGTTGATCTGTTGAATCTAACAGAAGGTACATTCTGTCCCCGTGTCAGGTACCGCATTCAGGTTGTGGCGGGAGGTGGATAGCAGCTATAGCACCTATCGCCAGCCCTTGTCACACAGCTATGCCACTAAAACACGGACCAAAGCCGGCACATGCCTAGGTACATTCAAGCCTGCGCGCAGCTCCCTTGCCGCTGGATCTGACCGCAAAATCGGCCAAGGGTGCGTAGCGCAAATCGGTGCAGGGAAGGCGCAAACGAAAACGTTGAACTGGCCAGCAGAAACCCCAGTCTCACTCTTTGCTGTGGTGTGGCTAGACAGTATTGGTTTTTGTTGGCAAGGTCGGTGTGTCTCGCGAACAGCGGTATCAATTGACCGGAGGCTGACGACGACCCGTTGCGAGGTACCTTTGGTGGAATACCTGAATAGTGATACCTGCACGAGTTGACAAAACTCTGATACAGTAAGATTGATCCCCAAGGTCGTATTGCGTGCCAACCCTCCGACCCGCCATAGAAGCTGAGTGGCTGCACTACTCCTGTGCAGGCTGGGCCCAATAGCTGCAAGACGAAATTCGAGGAAATCAAAGGAAAGCTATGCATGTGGCCAAAGCAATTGACTTTTTACTTGTTTCCGATTCTCGCACCTACCCGGATACGAGCCGACCAGCAGTTGTGTCCGCCATCGATAATCGATCTGGCTCGGCCTCTATCCATCTGGGTAATGCAACCTCAAATCTTGGGGCAGCTGCGAGGGATGCAAGGAATTCCGTATAATGCCGTCAGCTAGTGTGACACCCATCATGGCTGCTCTTGTGCGCCCGTAACCATCGTGTCTCTAAGACAGGTGCAGAAATGCGTGTTGGGCGAGCTGTCGCAGAGCTGGTTGCGTGTGGACCCACTTGAACACGCTCAACAGCTGAGATCATGTACCGGTACATGCGGAAGAAGCTTGCACTTCCCCCCAAAGGTTTTTGGAGCTAGTTTTTTTCGCTGGACCCTCACCGCCCGGGCGGAATCCGAAGACGGTACCTGTGCGCTAGCCCCTCACTGCTCTGGCAGTGGGTGGGCGGTCGATCCCCTGATGTCGCTCCCACCTAGGACGAGAGCTCTGGGCTCCTGGCCAACCCGGTTTTGTGGGAGGGTGATTTTCTGCCGCCTCCGCCAGCTTTCTCACCTCCATTACTCCAGTCTTCTTGTCCTAGGATCAAGAACCTGATTCCTTGCGATTTCAATCCTCATCTTGCCGTCTCCAACATCTTCGGGCTTGTAAAATCGGTAAGTTTGAGCATCCAAGCATTGCCCCTCCATCGTAGGATCCGTGCTCCTCGGGATTGGGCTGGAGTCATCACTCGTGCGACCACCAATTGCACGAGCAGAGCTGCTCTCTGCCCGGTTCCTCGATCGCAAATCCTCGAGTTGGCCTTGCGTTTCTCCTCCCATCTGAGTCTTCGTATGCTGATCATTGAAATTGAAGATCAAGCGACCAAAGAAACCAGCGGCTCGACTTACCTCAACCTACCTTTCAGACACATCCCACCATGTCCGCCAAGTCGATTCTCGAGGCCGATGGCAAGGCCATCCTCAACTACCACCTCACTCGCGCCTCCGTCATCAAGCCCAGCCCTCTCCCTGCCCCTACCAAGCACAACGCTCCTCCCAGGCTGGCATCGCTGGCTTTCCCTGAGGACGCTGATGTGAATGATGTGCTGAACCAGGCTGAGGTCACATACCCTTGGCTTCTTCATCCCGGTGCCAAGTTTGTCGCAAAGCCTGATCAGCTCATCAAGCGTCGAGGAAAGAGTGGTCTGTTGGCCTTGAACAAGACTTGGCCCGAGGCCAAGGCTTGGGTTGCTGAGCGAGCTCGCAAGGAGCAGCAGGTCGAGCACGTCTCCGGCCTGTTGACCCAGTTCCTCGTCGAGCCTTTTGTGCCCCATCCTCAAGATACCGAGTATTATATCAACATCAACTCGGTCCGTGATGTAAGTTACCTACCATTTTTTTCTTTCTTTCTCCATTTCCATGGTTCGTCATGGGGGTACTCGATCTGAGACTCGTATGGGGTGGGGCATACCATCAGACAGCTACTCAACGGAGCGAGCGTCTTGTTGATGGGCATGAAATGAACGAGGGACGATCCTCTGGGCCATACTCACTTTTATAATGAAGGTGTGGTTGTGGCCCGTTTTGTGGGTTCCGGGACAACGGCCGGTTCGACTGGACCGACTGGCGGGCGGACGAACGGAGGTTCATGAGATGCACCTTCAAAATCCACTACGCTCAGAATGCCGTGTTCCTTCATTTTCAGTCTACCCTACACACCAAACCTCATGATGGCGTTCTCAAAAATTGTCCTTTACTCTTGCGCTAACTGGTATTTTCTTATCTAGGGTGACTGGATCCTTTTCACCCACGAGGGTGGTGTTGATGTTGGTGATGTCGATGCTAAGGCCGAGAAGCTCTTGATCCCCGTGGATCTCAGCGAGTACCCTTCGAACGAAGAGATTGCCTCCACCCTCCTGAAAAAGGTTCCCCAGGGTGTTCACAACGTCCTTGTTGACTTCATCACCCGCCTGTACGCTGTCTACGTCGAATGCCAGTTCACCTACCTCGAGATCAACCCTCTGGTCGTCATCCCCAATGAGGAGAAGACCTCTGCTGAGGTCCATTTCCTGGATCTTGCTGCTAAGCTCGACCAGACCGCCGACTTTGAGTGTGGTGTGAAGTGGGCTATTGCCCGATCCCCCGCTGCTCTGGGTCTTACCAATGTCGCCAGCAGCGACAAGGTCAACATCGATGCTGGACCTCCCATCGAGTTCCCTGCTCCATTCGGTCGTGAGCTCACCAAGGAGGAAGCCTACATCGCCGACCTGGACGCCAAGACTGGTGCCTCCCTCAAGCTCACTGTCCTGAACCCCAACGGCCGTATCTGGACTCTGGTCGCTGGTGGTGGTGCTTCAGTTGTCTACGCTGACGCTATCGCCTCGGCTGGTTTCGCCGATGAGCTTGCCAACTATGGTGAGTACTCTGGTGCCCCCACCGAGTCTCAGACCTACCACTACGCCCGCACAGTCCTGGACCTTCTCCTCAGGGCGCCCGTCTCCGACAAGGGCAAGGTCCTCTTCATCGGTGGTGGTATCGCCAACTTCACCAACGTCGCCAGCACTTTCAAGGGTGTCATCCGGGCCCTGCGCGACTTCTCCTCCCAGCTCAAGGAGCAGAACACACAGATCTGGGTCCGCCGTGCTGGCCCCAACTACCAGGAGGGTCTTAAGAACATCAAGGCCGCCACCCAGGAGCTTGGCCTCAACGCCAAGGTCTTCGGCCCCGAAATGCACGTCTCTGGCATCGTGCCCCTGGCTCTCATCCCCGGAAAGTGGGAAGAGAGCAACGCTCAGGAGTTCTCGGGTTAAAAAAGGAAAAATTAAATTTTACGACTTGAAGGGGACAGTAGAAGATGTGGATTGCCATGTAAAAAGGGAGTCACAGGAATCTCCTATTCGAGCCTTGACTTATCATAAATATCTGGAAATACAACGCGAGGGCCGTGTACGGGTATGAGACTTAGAGCGGATGACGACGGAAGAGATTCTACCATTAATAAATGACCTAACAACCTAAGCTTCATCGTTTCTCTCATTGTGGTGACACAACTATACATTGCACTGATGACAGAAGATTAAATTGGGTTCCAGCATGATAAAAACAACGTCGGCCAATCCCTCTACATCGTCTCTCACAAAGTATAAACGTCGGCTCTGATTTGATGTTCATATTCTCTTTAAAGTCATTGGTCTTCTCTATGGCCTCGGTATTCTACCTCCAGGGTCATACCTGGTCCCTGACCCATTATTAAAACTACCCATTCAGCGAATCGAAGAAACAAAACATTTCAATATGTATTGCACTACGCCAATATGTACAATCAGAGCGGTTCTCTGAATCTTCGTTACATGACTATCAAGCCCGCTAGCACGAAATGCAGCTCTTAGATGAAAAGCATTGCCAGAAGAGGAACAGCCACAGACCAGACCATGGGCATGCTCAGGCCGACAGCGCTGTTACCCTTGTCGGTCTTGGAGGCAGCATCGGCAGTAGATGTGGAGCTCGAGTTTCCAGTGGTGGTGCCAGTTGTAACCTTGTTCTTGCCGTAGTAGTTGAACTCATCATCACCGAGAGGAACAACCTTGAGATCGCTGATAGCATTGCCGGTGTTGTCGACGACCTTGAGGCTGGTCTTCCAGTTCTTGATCTCAACGATCTTGCCGGAAGGCTTCTTCTTGATTCCGTCCTTGATAAGCTCAGAGGCACCGGGGGGAACGGCGGGAAGCGTGAAGTTGCTCTTGAAGCCCTCCTCGGTGATGAGACTGGAGTCACACTTGACAGGCTTGTTAGAGCTGTCGCTTGCCTTCCTCTTGAAGATAGTCTCCCAGTCCAAGTCGGAGTACTTGTCCTTGAGTCGGTTGTAGTCAGCTTGGAGGGTGGTCTGAGAGTCCTCAATCTTGACGAGACCGTAACCGTTTTCCTCAAGAGTCCATTCGTAGACAACACCACCAGAGAAGGTGTCATACATGTCGGGGCCATAAATGGACTTGGTCTCGTTCCACCATCGCTCCTTGGTCTCAATGCAGCCGTATTCACTGAAGAAGGTAGGGACGGGAGTTTCCTTGAGGCCGTCGACAAGCTTGTCAAAGGTTGATGACTTGAAAGTAGCATCCTTACCGCACCAACTGTAACTGTTGAGGGCGAAAAGGTCAGCACGGCTCACATCGTCCTCCTTGCCATCGATGGCGCAGGTCACGTAGTTGTAAGTGTCCCAGAGAACCTCACGAACATCGGCAGCCGAGTAGCCGACGGGGATCTGGCGCTTAATGTTGTTCTTGATGTAGTTCTTGAGATCGCGGGTGACGGCACGCATATAAGGGGGAACCTCCTTGGCGGACTCCAGGTCATTGATAATCTCATTGCCAGAGAAGAAGAGAAGGGTGTTGGGGTAGTTTGCGAAAGCCTCAACAACAGCGAAGGTGCGGTTCAGGTACGCAGCGTAGTAGGTGGTCCAAGGCTCGAAGCTGCTGATAGCCTCTCCGACTCTTGGGGAGTTGACGTCAATCATCATGTACATGCCGGCCTAAAAGTCCATTCCTGTTAGTTGCCTGGCGGTGCGGTACGGTGCCAATAGGCGTCACCGTGAGAGGAGGAAGCGGGAAGTCCTACAGCATTGAAGATACTGGCACACTCATCGTGGTTGATATCGGGGTTCACGTTGTAGACACGGATGGCGTTGACACCGAGAACTTGCATCAGGGCAGCATCGCGCAGACAGACGTCAGCATTGCTGAGAGGATCCTTGCCGTGGGCAGGATCATACCCAGAGCTGCCACCTGGCTGGTACGCCATACCGACAATCTCGAACTTGGTGCCATCCTTAGGAACAACAAAGTCGGCGCCCTTGATCTCGAGAGTCGGGACAGCGCCGACGACTGTGGCGGTAAGCGCCACGAGGGCGGCAGAGAGCTGCGTAGAGTTTGTGAGCAGGTTATGGACAAATTACGTGCAAGTCGTCTCGGAAACGATGACTCTGGTCGGCCGGACTTACAAGCATGGCTGCGGATGTTTAATTAACTAGTCGAACGAATAACACGGTGATGTCAGGTCGAAATGGGGGTCAATTTGAATGTTGCCTTTGGCGAGACTTGAGAGAACTAGCCGGCCCAGAAGAAGAAGAACAATGCAGTGCCAAATGTCCAAGCATATAAGTGAGTGAAAACGAAGGAAGCTTCGTCGCTGGCCGAAAGAGTGACTGACCGCGACAGCTAGAATGAGTGTGTGGAATTTGGATGGAGGAAAGGAAGGAAAGAAGGAGGGAGCAGAGGGAGCGGGAGAAAATGGGCGCGTGCTATAGAAGGATGCAACGATACAGCGGATGGGGGCAACTTCTGGTGGTTCAGGCTGGGCAGGATCTTCTCCAGACACCCATCCGGGGCCAGGTACGTACCGGGCTGGATGATTGGGTTGCACAGAAAGTCTGCAGGGGATGTTACCGCTTAAGGGCATAACGAACTCAGCCGGCCAGCGGATTGGATAGAGGTGGTGTCCACTGGGGATTGGTTCCTGACTAAATCCCTGTAGCGCCCCTGTTGGTCTGTTTCTAGTCGAGGTGGGTGCCTGTCCGAGGCAATAAGCATGATGAGACTGCGCTGATACTCTAGAGCCTGCCGCCATTCATGCCCTCAATTTCACTTTGCTGCCACTGCCCACAGGAAGTGCACTACAGCACGGGGGAGGGGAGGGGAGCCTTGTGAGAGGGCAGGCACTGAGCCGGCCGTGTCTCTGAATGAGTCCCTGATTGGCACCAAGACAACCCTTCATTATTACAACGGCTTCGGCCCACTTGGCTTCAATCTTGACTATTTGCTTATAATTAAGCAGCTGGCCAGCCTTGCGAATCATAGCCCAGGCACTTAGCAGACCAAGGCGCAGTAGCCCATCCGAGCAATTTGGGCCTCGAGGAATTAACGAGTCGCATCACGGGACCAGGCTAGGTCCTGCACTTGTCTCCGGTGGCCCTCAGAGAAGCAATTTGAAGCCTGCGTGGAAGCTCGTATCTCTCTGCTGTCGGTGCCGCCGCCAAGACCGTTCCACTGTCTTTGGAATTGACGGGGCTGCCGTGGGACGACCCATGCATAATCCATCTAACACAAGCACATCATAATTAATTCCTGCTGACTTCCTGTTTGGCGCCGGAGCTGCTCCTGCTGCGGGAACAATGCCATTGCCCAGAGCCGCATCGACCAAGTACGACAGAGGGCCATCACCTTGGTAGACCGAAATGAAGATAGTCATGATAGCACATGGGTTAATCTCGGTGTAGCAAGCTGCCCTGACGCTTTTCGCCGCCAGGGACAGCGAGGGTCCTCTGGTGTGGTCTTCCCGGCCACAAGACTGTCTAGCTCGGCGTGGCGGCCTCCTGCCAAGACTTTCCAACCCAGGGGGTTACATTATCTTCGCCATCGGCATTTGCATTGTCTCTGCATTACATCTGCAGTCTCGAAACAGCTCTCTGAACCCGACTTCTCGAATCCCAAACAAGCCACATTCAAAGTCGGCGCCCTAGCACGATTAAGCTTGAGGTCATCCCGTGGCTCGGAACGCACTGCCACACCGCCGATGCTCCACTGTCGAACCTCAACAGAGACTCACCGCTGGGAATTCATTTATTAGCTATTGGCTGCGTTTTATCGCAAAGGACGACCCTTGTCCCGACTGTCTTTCCATTTCCCTTTCGTCGAGTCCAGCCATATTCTTTATCAGCCCC